CTTATGTAACTTACAAATAACCTGCGAGAGGCGAAACTTCCCTAGGATAAAACTTGTAAAAACTAGAAAATTGCAGTTATTTCTGCATTATCGTCAATTTTTTTCTGTAAAATATCCTGTTTAAGGTGAAACCTGTGAAACGTAAACGAGAAACCTACTTTAATATATAACGGACTTTCGGTTTTAACGAACATTCCCTCACCCGAATTAGTCCGTTAAATCGAGGTTTACTGTACTTTTGTATTTAATATATATACTGTATATTATATATAGCTTCCGATTGAGTCGTCCAGCATTGGAGTAGAAAATAATCTTGTCAGCTTAGTCATACCTGTTATAAACCCATTATTTCGAGCCGATCAAAACGAAAACTTCATATTGAATCGAGAAGTATAATACAAAAATATTAGAAATTAAATAAACTGTATCGATATTTATTTTTCTTATATATAATAAATTTTAGGGAATAGTTTAGTTAAATGATATAATAATTGACGTTAACGTGCTGTTGTTTACAAGTCATAAGACACGAGTTTTGGGCATAACCACGTTGCGAATTTTGAAATTACAGTTAATATCATAGTGAAGATCTTGTGAAGTTCTTTCCCAAACTCCGTCTCATTCAGTGGTTTCCGTGTGTATCACGATTCGATGTAGTAATCCAGGTTCGTTGGAAAGCACACCTCCACACTCAAATTGATAATATTTACGGTTTATTTACAGATTCTATATGCAGAAAGTACAAGTTCGAAAACAATATATATACAGGATAACAATGCGTAGTGACTCACGTACTAGATTGGTTTCCGGGAACTGTTAAACTTTGGAGAGGCCTCGGTCAGCTTGTGGAGTTGGCTCAACTGCACGGTCAGTCCAGTTTTCGCACTAACCCGTCCCCGAGATGTTTATCAGGGAAGAGCACTCTTTCTATGCTCAGCGGGCTTCCCAAGTGCCTGAGACTACCGTGTATCAGTCTCTTGCCCTTCTCTCCCTTCCGCCCCGCAGGACGGAGAAGAGGGAGAGAATTTGAGTGTTTTTTTGGACGGGAACTTCTGACTAATCGCAAATCTTTCTTGCCCGAACAACTTTAACCTAGGTCCGCTGTTATCCGACGAGAGTCAAGCGTACAGTAACTTCCGCCGCTTGTTTACATTTAGTTGTTTACCATATGGCAAATAGTCTATCGTCTGATCACAGATGGGTCTAATTGACAAAGTCGGCGCTTCCTTTGTTTTCCCTCTGTTTACAACACCTTACAAGTGGTATATTGGGTCCAATTGACAAGGTCGCGCTTCTTTTGTTCCCTCTCTGCTAAAAGGTCGATACTTTACAATCATCGAGTAAAGTGAAATAAATACAAAATAATATCGAATATTTAAGAAGTAATAGTGATTATGAACTGTAGGAAATATTAAATCTTTAAAATAAATTTCGATTTAAATAACTTTTTGTTCTTATAGGTTCCCTGCCCATAAGTTTCGCGCTTTTGATGAAGATCTCTTGCGGTAAAATAGTGAACTTTGTAGTTACAAACAATAGAGTTACGACTGAGTTAACATGGTAAATTCTGTGAATTTTCTTCTGGAATAAGGAAACGAAATACTGTATTTGTAGCGTAGTAGGATATATTTTACAGTACAGTAGACCCCCCTATAACACTGTAGATAATTCCGTGTTATATGAATTCCATGTTGTACGAGTCACTTAGATTTTACAAATACGTGTGCCGGATTATGAACGGCTTACGTATTTGTAAAATCTAAGTGACTCGTACAACATGGAATTCATATAACACGGAATTATCTACAGTGTTATAGGAGGGTCTACTGTAATACTACAGATGCAGTTTTTTTTTTATTTTCTCCGAATAAAAAAAAACACGCAGTTAGAAGAAATGCATGGATTAATACTTTACTTTTATTTATGCACATGAGTATAAATATTTATTTAATACTTTACATCATAAGAATTCAATGTGAGGTATGCTATTCTAATATAATTTCATTTCACTATTTTACTGGTATCTGATACTTGTTAAAGAAAAGCCTTATATTTTTTATTGTCAAATTTCTTTGAATTTGGTGACTCGAAAAATTTTCTCGCAACCCACGGTTTGCCATGTTCTAAAGTTCAGTTAATATCTCAGCTAGTGTGAGAGTCGCTCTTAGGATGCGACTATGCAGACGCGAATTTAGTAGCGAGCGATATAGTTCTCGCAAAGGAAAACCATGCACAAGCGAGAAGCGAGAAGTTTCGTTGGCGTAAGCGAATTTTTGGTTCTCGCATACTGTATATCTGACAAGGTTTGATATTTATCGCATCTCGCCTCTTCTCGTCAAATATTCTCGCTCGCACGCGTCTGCATTGTCGCACTCTTACGACGTTTGTAGAATTCCATAAAATGCTGGCTTTCACAGGTTTTACTCCATTACTTTAGATATTTACAACTTCAATTAATGCATTTTTTTTAATTTTAAAAGAACTTAGTGTTTATTGTATATTCTATGTAATTTTAAAAAATTTATTGATTTATATTACATTATTTAAAAAATTATTTTCAGATTGTTTATCAGGTTATCATAAATATGATAAGTTTTGTTTCAACGTTTCCTATCAAAAAATGGACTTTTGGCAAGCTAGAAACTTTTGCAGGCGCAATAATGGTTGGTTAGCAGCCATACAGGATAAAGAGACACATGAAGCTGCGTTAAACGAAATTAGTCTTTCAATAATAGGAGATGGTTTATGGATTGGAGTGAAGAAAGTCGGTAGAAAATGGATGTATCCAGATGGCACATTACTTCCTACAAATTCAAAAGTATGGGCTAATGGAGAACCTAATCCTGCTGCCAGTAAAAAATGTGCAAAGTTATCGCTCCGTGCTTACAGATTAGTGGCCCAACAATGCGATTCAAAATTGGGATATTTATGTGAGCAGATGGTACCAGGTAATTTATAAAGTATAACTTTATTCAATATAAAGCTAAGAATAACAGTAATGCTATTTCAAAATATAATATAGTTTAAAAATATGTAGAGCAACAAACAAATTCATAACAAATGTTATTTGGTAAAGTTCTTGAATTTGTATGATTATAATATGAATATTCTAAGATCTTGAAAAGATCGTAGATCTACATAATAAAGTCGACCCCGCTATAACACTGTTGATTATTTTGTTTTATACGAATTCCATGTTGTACGAGTCACTTAAATTTTACGAATACGTGAGCCGTTCACAAACCGGCACGCATATTTGTAAAATTTAAGTGACTCGTACAACATGGAATTCATATAAAACAGAATAATCAACAGTGTTATAGGGGGGTCGACTGTAATTATTTAAAGCCTTATAAATCTGTATCAAACTTTTGTTGTGTCTTTAGGAAGCTTTCTTCTTGCTTCCTTAACAGAATATATTTGACCTTATTGTTCATCTGGAATGATGCTTTGCGAATTTTGAAATTACAGTTAATATCATAGTGAAGATCTTGTGAAGTTCTTTCCCAAACTCCGTCTCATTCAGTGGTTTCCGTGTGTATCACGATTCGATGTAGTAATCCAGGTTCGTTGGAAAGCACACCTCCACACTCAAATTGATCGTATTTACGGTTTNTCATGTACAAAAAAAAATATATTAACCTATCCCATGTTGAAATTTTTCTCCATTTCATGTTGCTTCACATTGAGTTTTCATTGATGTTAAGCCTAACAAAAATTTTTTTAAAAATAATAATCATGGCTATTGTATCATTAAAAATTATTTCTTTATTTTGCAAAAACAAAGTAAATATACTGAAAAATATAAAAACAAAAAACAAATTATATTTTGGAAGTTAATCTAGTATCAAAAACATTCCGATTCAGCATGACACGTCCTGACACAGTCCTCAGAAAAACACCATACAAAACAAGCAAAACTCACCACTCACGATGGGAGAAAAAAGCCTCGTTCAAATACTGGCTCGTCCTTAAGTACCTCTCATGGTCGCACCAGTGCTGCCAGCTAAAACATGCACACCAACAAAAATAATATTCAAGTAGTCCAAGACATAGTCAAATATTGCAGCACCACAGCGTTCCAGTCGGCAAATTCAAATTTCTGGAAATTTGAATTTGCCGACTGAAACGCTTTCAGTTAACTGATATTTTGGTTGATCGGTATTCGAATAATCAATGCTCTACTGTATTTCAATTGTACGTAATATTTTTGTTGTAGATATCTATATATTTTTATGTACAGCTGATGAGGATCTTGTGTACCGAAATGCATACCAGTAATAAAGTTGTATTCTGACGATAGAAATGTCATTTTGATGTTACCAGTAGCAGTGTAATAAGTCCCTGTTATTTCTACTATAGTATTTGAGATATTAGTTTAAACAATTTTTGAGACAAGAAGATCTTTTATAATATAATTTAAGTGTCACATTGATAAAATAGTAAGAGCATTAGCAATACATTGTGACATCCTCTGGCAATTCTGTAAGCATATCTCATCAAAATATATGCTATTTTTTTCACAAATTTTCAGTCTATTGTAGATTATGGTTTATCAAGTTGGGCCATGGCTGCCCCCTCTCTTTTAAATAAAATCATGAAAAAATTTGACAAAGTTTATTTAGTTTTAGATTTACTCTGCAATCTACCTGTACTTATCATCCAAAAGTTGCCAGGTCCAGACTGGATCGTCCAATTTTTAAAGAGTGCATCCAATACTTCGACTGTTTGCACTTCCATAAATATTTTAACAGAAACATACAGTTTGGCTACATTTAAGAATTTCTCAATGGAACTTACATAACATTATGTGTTTTTACTCCCTTTTATAGACTAAGCATTTCTCAAAGATCACACTTTTATCTCATCTCTCGGAATATGAGAGAATTCGAAAATTTACTACATGAAGATTTTAGTAATTTTAAACACATTTGTAAATGTGTTTAAAATACTCTATAACTCTAATTTTTAGTGTTTAATATTTTTGTCCTATTGTTATTCTATTGTTTTTTTCTTATTTTTCCTGAACTGTCATGTAGTGTTTGTTTCATTGCTGCAGCATTACCAATATTCTTTTCTTTGGCAAATGGGCAATAGCTACGAGTATGAGAATAATCTCCCGTTGCCCCACAATATTCACATGTATAATTTCTAAGAATGGGACATATAACTTTTCCAGTTTTAGCATCTTTTAAAACATGGGTTTGATAAAAGTCTTTTGGATCCCCATTTCTTTTGCAAAATTTGCATTCTATATATTGTCTTCTTGATTTAATTATTTTTTTCTCTTCAAATGATTTATTTCTATATAAAATAAACCGATTTTCCTCCCTGATGTTCTTTGGAAATGGTTGGCAATTCCTTAATAGATTATTAACTTTATGCATTTTATCTTTTCTTGCAATATAATCTATAATGAAAATAAAACATAAATTGATATTACTTATAGTGCAACAATAATGATTGATTTAAATCGTGTTTTATGTATTGTAAATTTAAATACTTACTTCAATTATTGATTATTTAAACTTAAAATTGGCTAATTTTTAAAATAGACAAAAAAAATAAATAAAAATTTACTGATTAACAACAGAAGAGTGATGACATTGTACTAAGTAACTAAGTAACATCAAGACTAAAGTTAATATGTTATATACCAGTATATCTTTCAGTAGTATAATTATGTATAAAATGTTTAATATGAAAGGATAATGGCAAAAATTTAAGTTATATTAGAACGCTTCAAACAAAGCGTATTTAGTACAGAACTTTTAACGCGCAACTATTTAAATAAGCGAAATTTACTGCATGATCATTATTCAGAATACTTCTTCATAATGATTTTGATTTTAAAAAATTATTTCAAATAGAAGAATTTTTGAGAATCTTTATTCTACTAACATCCCCTCACTTGTCACAGTCCAAAATTTTTATCTATTCCCTCTCCCCAGTGCGGACGTCATATTCCAATGACCCTAATAAACCTTTTTGTCTAATCAATATGGCCTCTGATTCTAAATAAACAATGTTTACAATATAGAATTCAGTTTTACAAGTTAATCGTTGGAAATTTTTAATTCCTATCTATTTTCCACGTATAATTTATTATCAATACCTAACGATTAAATGATTTTATATAAAAGTTGCTTTTAATGTAGAAAATTATTTATATATTTGTACTAATTTTAATTAATAAACTTGTAAATTATTAGGTTCTTCTAGAAATTTTATCTATTTAAAACTATATATTTACAAATAAATTATTGTTAATAAATTTATTGACAGTAATTTATAATTATAAATTTAATAAAGTAATTAATAAATTTTAAAATAGTATATTATTATTTTTTTTAAAGAGGGTAACAATAATTTATTTGTTTATTGTATAACGAATAGCCTATATACTGTAGTTTTAAACAGAAAACTTCTACATAAATTTACAAATTCATCGAAAATTTTAAATTAATTTTTAAAATTAGAAACTCCAAAGTTTTTTACTGGTAATGATTTGTATAAATTTTTATATAATTTTCAAATTTAATATATTTTTATATAGAAAATATATAAAAATAACTATAGAATTGTATATATAAAAATTTCTTAATATCTTCTAAAATAATTTTCAAAATTTTACCTGAATTTAAAGGTTTTAATAATCTATGGATTTCTTCTTCCAACGATTTATGGGTATACAGAGGAAATTTGATCGTACGTTCTTCACTCATTGTGTTAAGGTATGTTTATAGAACTAAAAGACTTGAACAATATATACGGCTTAATTGACATTTGAGTGTCATATTTCTAAAATTAGAAAGAAACGTTACACTTTTAAAATAAATTATGGCTCTATATACAAAAGTTTTTCGATTTTACTTTATAAATAATAAACGCATATCTTAAGTGTAATATTTAATAAAATACTGTATGTAATTAAATTAAAATTAATCAACTATTTATTGCATAGGTATTTACATATTTATATGCGATTTTTGGTTTGATGAAAAAGTTTTTATATGAAAATATATAGAAATAATGGGATGTAATTGTATTTCTAATAAATTTATTTAAACTTTTTTGTATAAGATCATTCAAAAAATAGTTAAAACTGGAAGTAAAACAGAAACTAATTCTGTTATTATTATTTTTTATATCTTTTGTTTTAATATACAGTCGTGTGCAAAAGTTTAAGACCAGCAGCCGTTTTTTTTTTTTTTTTTTTNCAGTATTTTCAATCTTTTTTTATCTCACAGCACACTTGATTGAACCTATAATTAAATTTCCGGGGCTTCTTTTTAATGAAGTAAAAAAGAGTATAAAAAAAAAGATTGTATTTTTCATAAATTATTTATTAACACAAAGCAATTTATTATAATTTCTAATTAATAGATAATAATTAAAATTAAAAAAAATCTCATTTATTTATCGGTTTATTATAATTGATCATTTAATGAGATATCTGACCTAAGAAAAGCAATTAACATTAAGTTTTGTCAGATCTGTAAATAATAAATCATAATACAGTGAAACCTAAGTGAACCACACTCCCGAATAGCGGACACCTCTACTTAAATAGCATTTTACAATTCCCAGACCGTTCAAATAAGACATTTATTATATTTACTTCTAAATAGCTGACATCTACGGTATTGTGAGATCCTGGAGTAGGAAACGTTTTAATTTAAAAAAAAAATGAATATTTCAATATAAAATTAGAATAATATTTCAGTTAATATTTTGAAACATCTGTAAAACGAGAATAAAGATAAAAATTTATTACTTTATGCATCTGGCCTTGCTTAATTCTTGTTGAATGGAAATTTACCAGGAATATGGTTTGATGAAAAAGTTTTTATATGAAAATATATAGAAATAATGGGATGTAATTGTATTTCTAATAAATTTATTTAAACTTTTTTGTATAAGATCATTCAAAAAATAGTTAAAACTGGAAGTAAAACAGAAACTAATTCTGTTATTATTATTTTTTATATCTTTTGTTTTAATATACAGTCGTGTGCAAAAGTTTAAGACCAGCAGCCGTTTTTTTTTTTTTGTATTTTAAAACATAGCATCATTTACACAGAATATTGCATCATCTTATGTGTTGATTGCATCAGACACTTTTGACTGCTATAAATAACCACCCCCATCTCATTCATCGCCAGTTGTTTTGTGGATTTAACCATAGAGGTGCTGTTTTTTAATTATTGTAATGGGTAAAAAGCCATCACTTACTGTTGCAAAAAGGGCAGAAATAGTGGTCCTGCATAAAGTTGGCTTTTCTGAATGTGAAATAGCTAAAAGGGTACATATGAGCAAGACTGCTGTTCATCAAGCTGTCAGTAAATTTAACAATTCAAGAAAATATACAAACATGAAACGAAGAGGTCGCCCAAGAAAAACGAGTGCTCGTGATGATCATGTGATCCGAAGGATGGTAGTGAAATCTCCAACAACCTCCAGCAAGAAAATTAAACATACTCTGGCTGCAAAGAGCACCAACATCAGTTTGAGCACTATTTTAATTAAGACGTTTGACCAAAGATTTCGCTTTATTATCCTACAAACCAGCTAGGAAACCTCGGCTTACCCCAAATATGAAAAAAAACGACTGATTTTCGCCCAGAAACACAAGAACTGAACAGTACAACTGTAATTTCAAGATTATCATCATTGATTTAAGCGATTTTAATCTGATAAAATATCATTAATTAATATAATAAAATTTATTTGCATTTTTTTACAATTTATTTTAATTTTTTTAAATCAAAATTTATATTTAAATTAAAGAAAGGAAATTAAATAAAACAAATAGGATAAACGGTAAAAATTTCGTACCCGAATGCTACTTGACCTCCCTTCTTATTGAATGACTCATTTATCATTCTAAACTAAAACGGTGAATTATTTAAATTATAATTCGCATAAAATAGATAAAATTAATTTGAATTATTAACATTATCGAATAGTTAAATTTAATTATAAATACAATTATTTATTTTATATTTCTGAGAAGATTTATTATTTGTTAATTAAAGATTTAAATCTTCTACTACATTTTTATTTAAAAATTAAATCAGTGAAAGTGAAACTATGTAAATATTCACTTAATTAATACTGACTGTTCTGTTTCTTCAATATGCAAATTTCTTTCCGTTGTAGTGTTGAGCGACAAGACTTATATATTTTTAAATTTATTTAGCATTTAATTAGTATTATTATGAATACTAATTATGAATAACCCCATTTATAAGTTCTTTAAAAATATATATAAAAAAGTAAAATGAGTTATTTTAAATTATACATAATTACAGCAGAACCTCGATTATCCGGATTGTTCAAAATAAACAAAAATTTTACGAATTTGCTGATTTGCACTTGGCGAATTACGACACTGTTTATGTACGTGATGGAATGCATAACATTTTTTGTTTCAACAACGTCTCACCCAGCACAGTGGTCGTAAACTCTTAAATATATTTTGCATCGTAATAAAAATATAACATGACATACGTATTTATAAATAATTTATACTCAAATTACATCATTTCTATAACCAAGGGCGGTGTAAGGCATGGGCAACGTGGGCCACCACCTATGCCTCGCGGTCCGAAGGTTTATGCATTAGTTAAAAGCTGCGAACGCGACGAAAAAATTTTACTCGTCATAAAACGATAAATAGTTTGTCAACTTTTTATTCATAAAAATGCAGTTTTGACTGCTTTTTATTTTTTAAAATCTGTCTTCTTGAGCTACCAGAGGGCCTTTTAAACAATAGCTGGTCTGTTAGCGCTGGTCAGTAGTAGTCCAAATTCAATAAAACATTTGTTTCATGAAAATTTGATCACGATTTAAATACAATATTTATTTTTAATATTATCGATATGTCATCGAAAAGAAAACGTGTTGTATTATCATTAAAAGACAAAGTATTTGTTTCGATTATCCGGAGTTTTCCTTATCCGGACTACCTTCATCCCCAATTAGTCCGGATAATCGAGGTTCTACTGTATTTATTTTAACAATTTAATGTACAATTCTATATCAACGACATTATCTCTAAGTACTGTAAGTGTATCTGTATGGAAAAGTATGAAAAACGGTATCAAATTTGACTATCCTGATAAAAATACATATTCTTTGTATTGTGTTTTACTTTTCATATTCATTTTTATCGTTGAATTTATGTTTTAGTATATAGATACTTGTTATTTTCCTGGTTGTTATGTGTAACAAACGTCTAGACCAGTATTTTCAATCTTTTTTTATCTCACAGCACACTTGATTGAACCTATAATTAAATTTCCGGGGCTTCTTTTTAATGAAGTAAAAAAGAGTATAAAAAAAAAGATTGTATTTTTCATAAATTATTTATTAACACAAAGCAATTTATTATAATTTCTAATTAATAGATAATAATTAAAATTAAAAAAAATCTCATTTATTTATCGGTTTATTATAATTGATCATTTAATGAGATATCTGACCTAAGAAAAGCAATTAACATTAAGTTTTGTCAGATCTGTAAATAATAAATCATAATACAGTGAAACCTAAGTGAACCACACTCCCGAATAGCGGACACCTCTACTTAAATAGCATTTTACAATTCCCAGACCGTTCAAATAAGACATTTATTATATTTACTTCTAAATAGCTGACATTTACGGTATTGTGAGATCCTGGAGTAGGAAACGTTTTAATTTAAAAAAAAATGAATATTTCAATATAAAATTAGAATAATATTTCAGTTAATATTTTGAAACATCTGTAAAACGAGAATAAAGATAAAAATTTATTAATTTATGCATCTGGCCTTGACTTCCTGATATGCTTAATTCTTGATGAATGGAAATTTACCAGGAATATGACCGCATCGGGAACGAACAAGGGTTCGTCAATTTCCCTATAAAAGGGGATGACCCCTTCACTCACGGCTGCTTTTTGTTTTGGTCAACGGAAGTAAGCCAAGTGGAGTCATGATATAATCGTTCCCGCCTCCAAAGACGTAAAGGTCTCGACATTAGAAGTCTCACAACGCTCCAGGTAATATGTACTTTTGTAGGCTCTCTCTCTATGCTGCCGTAACCTAGGCTTTAGCATTTAGCCCATATATACCTTTGTTAGAAGTTCGATATTAGTTTATTGTATGCCTTCAACGTGTATCTTCAAATCTATGTATATACCTGTTTGATTAGAGTAGTTTAACAGCAATAAATAGAGTAGTTTAAATTAAGTTGATTTGCCCTGCTTTCAATGTCCCGAATCGACACGACCCCTCCGCCACTCGATCTACTCCCTTCCAGTATAATTTAGACGTTGCCACTCTGATATATCGCTAAGATAATTGAAATTAGAAGTACTCGCGAGATAGGGTGAGAATTTAGAATTTCCCTAGCTGGTGTCAGGACCCTGACATCGAAAGGATATCACTATCCCGAAGACAAATAAAATATTTAGCCATCTTAGATAATGGGCGAGATACTACCAACCACGTTCTCCATAACCAACCTTACGAAAATTCGTACGTAATTAATTCTTTCAGAATTAATTACGTACGAAATATTTTAAAACTAAAAGAATCGGTCAAATACTCTTTCATAGGGCAAATTTTGCCCATAGACGTCGAATGAGGACTGGCTGAAAAGAGAGATGGGGAGGAGGGGAGATTGTATAAAGCCGAACAATACTCTCTTTTGGGTACGTTCGTAAAGTCGAACGAGTTAAATGCGTTACTAAGGGGATGGCCATAAATTACGTCCGCATTTTTCCAGAAATTTTTACTATCCCTCTTGTCCCAAGTTTCCATAATCCTTTTTCAAAGAGAAAAAGGATTATGGACGGATTATGAGTTTTGCTGGACGTCCATAATTCTTTTTCTCTTTGAAAAAGGATTATGGACGTCCAGCAAAACTCAGCCACCCTCCGAATCTTTATCACCTTATGCATAATAAAATGTATAAATTGTATAAAAGTTAATGAAATAAAACGGACGTCCATTGAAGTACAACCATTCTTTCCTTTGTCCAAGCTGGAGCATGACATACTCTGAGCATTGTAAATGTGCACGGTAAAATCTGTCAAATGGAACCTGAATAAAAAGAAACCAGCCTAAACGGAAAAAATATCTGGTCTCGGATTTCATCTAACTAATTCCATTCTTTAGATTAAGGAAAGACAGACAGGTGACAGTAGGAATTTATAGGTCTACAGTTCAAATTGCAACGTCATTTAAACCACAATGTACACCAAAACGTGCTTATTGCATAGAAATTATATCACATGCATATCTAACGATTAAGATTGAATGGTAATGAAAATTAATAAATAAGTAAATAAATATAAGCCTTGTGTTATTGCCCTTGTTATCCATTTATGTCTTTTAGAATGACTTATTAAATCTTAGATTTATCAACTAAAATATAATTCGAAAACTTAATGTTTGTCTTAAGACAAAACATGTATTATTGGGGCTTTGAAACCACGGTTTATCTTGATTTCAAGATCTGGAAGGGATTTAGCTTAAATAGGTGGGATGAGGGGGGAGAAGGCGGAAGTATTCTACAAGAGAAAAGTTTTTATTGTTTGTAAACGGTGTAATATTGGTTCTTTCTTTTTAAACATTCTACTGCATGTTATATGAATGCGATTTTAAGGATTTACAGACGGTTTCACCAGCACAGTAGATTATTCAAAAATCGATCATCGGAAAAGTCAGTTAACCAAAATTGGCTTCAGAAAGTACTAATTCAAAAATTTAAGAAATTTTAACGTAATAATGATTGTCGGCCATCTTCTATGGGCTCGTTATCAACATTAGATTTTACACATTACAGTACAAATATAAAAATATGATTAATGAGTGACAGGTTTCTAATGTACAGTATTTCATACCTTTAGAAACAACATTGACATGGTTATAAATGCAATCTAAAACAAATTTTTCAACCCTCAAACTTATTGGAGATGTTTAGAACTGTTGAAAGAACTATTGGACCAAACACAATCAAACTTGATTACGCGTACTTCATCATGGGATTTCGATTTCTCAAATAAGTTTACTTCCAAAATTTTCCGATAGGTAAATTTGGCACTAATATCGCTGCAATTTGCATATTACGTAAGTTAAGGAATCTGCTCAAATTCATTTAAGCATAATTCTTTCCAATGATTAATCTGTTTGGACAGTTCTTCTGGATATGTGTAATAAGGTATCACTCCAAATTCATACTATTTGACACCAATAACATGTTCATATTATTATAAAAACGAATAAATCGAGAATAAGTACCTAAAATTGCCTTATACTCTACTCTTTATATCCATAATTCTCATATAGGTGCACCTTTAGCAAATGCCAAGTAAAGTTGAGTTAAAAAACTAAACTGTTAACAACATTGTGTGCAGTATAAACTTTTTAACTCTCACAAAATAGAACAACTATTTCTTCTTTTTAAGCTAGATTCACACTTTCATACGAAACGAATAATAATCAATGCGAAAAGTTGTTTGCTTCGACACAAACTGAGCTAGAATATGACTGATCGAAACAATTCAAACACTACTTGTAAAAAGTTAATTGGTCGAACAATCATTGGAAGGGCAGTTCGTATGCCAATGTGAACCTAGCTTTAATATTAAAATTTCGGAAATAAATAGTGCAAGACTTGATTAGATTCAGTTTAATGCCAACTAATTTTCAAGGGCTTAAAGCATTGGATCAATTTTCGTTCTGTATGTTGTTGAAGCGCGTTGTATATTTTTATATATGTATAAATTATGGCAACAATACTTATAGATTTGTAAGTAACTTTTTATAATTGTAAAACATATTTAAATATGTGAAAAAATCCTTTATAAGTTACTTACCGGTACTACTTAAACATGAAGGAGATTTTTCACATATTTAAATCTTTATTTAAGATGCATAAAATTAATTAATCGATTCGAAAGTATAATAAGTAATTAATATCTAGCTTTTTAATAATTACTAAGAATTTAAATGTATGTTTTCTATTTCAAGATTTATTGAATCCATGTTTAACAGTTGGAGAAACTTATATGACTCTGATACAAACTGGGAATTTCCTATTTGAAGTCATAGTTTTTTTACATGAACATGTAATTAAATTCATGTTTCTAGAGTTATAAATTAAATATTATTAATTTTAATATTTAATAAAATTTTCTATAATTGTATGAATTATTTTACAAGAATTTAAACATGCTTCGAAAATAGAATTTCTAGGAAACAAATATTGATCTCGTTAGCAGTTGCAGCATCCAAATTTATTATTGATGTAGCCTTGCTATGCTGTCAAAATAAAATTATCATGTTAAGTATTTACTAAATATAAAGTTTTTCATACTATAAGTTCATTTATCACGATTTTTCTTGTTTTATTTGCTTTAAATTCTGTAAAAACAAGGCGTTAATTGTTATTATTTCATTCCTTAATGCTTTCTTTTAGAATAATCATATTTCGTTTTTAAAATGGCGAGATAGTGTTGTCAATTATTAAATTAGGTATGTAAATAACTTATATATTACCATGCTTCAAATTTTCCAGATCTGACGGTTTTTCTATTAATGATAAAAATTATTGAAATGCCTATTACAGAAGGCATCATCCATTTATATGTTGTTAAAATATTATATTAACCAATGTTCTATAGTAAAGAACATTGTTACTTTACTATAGAAACTCTGACTTTTTAAAAGACCAAATCGATTATCCTTTTCAAACACAATTATAAATAATAAAAATTCATACTAATATTTTAATTTATGATCAACTCTTATTCTAGGATTGTCTTAAATGATTCCTTAAACATTTGAAAATTATGCTGTAAACATTATATTGTAATTAATTAACTAAATTTTTTCATCCTTAATGTAATATATTAATAATGTAACTTGTGTAAATATTTATCATTTCAGAACTGGTCTGCTCATTATTGGAATGGACGATTGGATTCCATCTTTTATCAAAATTCAGAAATAATCAGTGTAGTTTACAGTTGGTATAGACAGAAATGGAATAGATAGTGTGTAACATATCCCAGTGCAAGTACTTTAAATTCTTTCAAAGTGTAACTTTGGTTTAATTGTTCTTAAATAGTGAAAGATTGATCATTTCCAATTAAAATATCGCTCTTGTACAGGTAAGTGTATAGTACATTAAACTATAAAACTTTCCGTTATAAAGTTTTTATTTTAGTAGAAATCAGATCACTGAATAGAAATGTTAATTTTATAATCCACATAATGATAATGTTTGTAAGTATTTTTGTTTTAATTGAATAATATCTTAAAGTATCAGCAAGCTAATGGTTATTTTCCTATCATCACTCTGTTGAGAAATGAAATTATATCAAATTCATACAGAAATTTATCCAAGATCGATTTGTTTTTGATAGATAAATATTTTTGGTTCCTCCTCGATCAATTTAAATTAAATTTAGAAAAGTATATAACATCAGATGGTAAATATTATACATTAAATCGGCATAATAAAATAAATTATCTAGTATAAGTTAGTATAGTCTATCAAAAACAAAATTACTGTATAAAAATCAAAAATCACGACTTTACTTTTCATATCCTTTTGTGACAAGGACGGATTTAAGGGGTGTGCAGGGCGCAGCACCACCTTCTTGGATTTTTTCCAAAGACAGGTACCTGCCTTTGGAAAAAATCATGTGGTAAATTTGTACTTCATGTGGTAAACATTTTTAATGCGTATTGTTTCCTTTCTGCTTCTGTAAAGATTTCTGAATCGCTCGTCTGGTGATTATTCTTTCAGAAAATAATATTATATTAACCATTTGCGATTGTAGCCAGCTTCTAAGTATTTATCTGTCTTTTAAGTAAAAGCATTCAAACACAAAGATCCTAAATTCTTCATACAGATAAAGGGTTCACTTTATTACGTAATCTAGTTATATGTCACTCACAGAATACAATCTATGTAGATGCCATTTGAATGAATGCACATATAAAAGCACTCCTACTACTCATGGTAAACTGATGTTAGCATGTCTGATGTTGAGTTTGCAAATACATCACAGTTACATACATCCCTTCAGGTATTTGCTTTTGTATGGATAGTTTTGAGTCACCTTGTGTTGTAGTAGTAGACTGAATTACTAATATCAATCTAAAATTATATTCTCACGCTTAAATCTAAAATTATAAATATTTGAATAGGTCTGTGAATGCTTAAAAAATTGTGGAATTCGATAAGGAGGCGAAGATTCCTTATGTATTTAAATGTGCGTATTGGATTTCTTACGACGTTCCTGTGTGTGTTCAGGTAAAGGTAGAATTAGTTACAGAAAATAAAGTATTATTGTCAACTTTTCCATTTTAAATTTTACTAATTAGATGCTACAGTATTGAAAATAACTTAATTTGCTTTAATGTATGTAAATAATGACATAAAATTCAATATTTCAGAGTAATTGCGTTTTACAAAATAATTTTGGAGAAGTTATGATACTCAGCCTCAATACTGATGACTGAAGATGAATCTGTGACTAAAACTAAATCTCCATTGACGAAAATCATCAAGAGTTCTTAAATATTCTATAAATTATTCGTAACATATTAAAATTCTAATAATAAAAATAGTGTTTATTTATGTGAAATTTGTGAAATTTTAGAATTTATTTGTTATAGATATTTTATGAAAAAGTATTTATTATAATAGAATTATTCACAATTGTTTTACATAAATACAGTTTTAAAAAATTACTTTTTTTTAGCCACTAGCCATTATCTTATTTTTATAAAATAAACACATACTGTACTAAAATTTTTTAAATGAGCAAAAAATTTATTGTTAAAGTATGATGTCTTTAAGTAATAAATCGATACTTTTTGAATTAATACATGCTTCTTAATTTATTACTGGGGAATTTTGTGGTCATAAATTGGGCTTTCACTATATTTCTCTTTTGGCTTTCTAGATTTCTTACATATCCAAGGGTCCTTCATCACTTGTTTAATGTTAAATCTCTTAATGATATCTGGTTCTAATAAGTGATTGATCAGTAATTTACATTCCAATTTGGCATTTGTATTTATTTCTAAAGGAGATATATAATGTCGTTCCAGTTGATATTTTACCATTTTACGATGATGGCTTTCAGGAAACGGCAATCTTCCCGTAATCATATTGTACAAAATCACACCTATGCTCCAATTATCGCTCATAATTGGATTATATGGTATTCCTTGCAATACTTCAGGAGCTGAATATCCAGGGCTTCCGCAATATGTTTCGCTTAATACTCTTTTTCCGGTTTTATCATCAGCTGGCGATTTAAAACAAAATACTTATAATTATTCTTAAATATAAAATAATGTAGAATTTGTTTTATTAATATAATTTTTAATCACAAAATTCGGACCAACAATTGAAGAATATAATTAAGTTTTAAAATTTTTCTGTACAACATTTAATTATTAGAATAAACTGAAATGGACTCAATTTTTAAGAGATGTTTTAATTAAATACATGTTGGATCTGTCTTACTTTTAGTGCTAAATATATATAATCAAAGTTACCAAAAAAAATTTAATTTCCCATAAGAAATAATCACTTGAAAATACCATATATATTTATAATAAATGCATTTATAAGGACAGATGATCAAGGTGTTAAAGGCATCAACGTACTGCTCTAGACCTCGAATCAGGATCAAATCTTCAGAATTTTCACGAATAATTTGATCCGAATATGTCAACTCGTCTATCCATTCCATTGTGGGCGTAATCGAACATAAGCACAAAAAACTGCATTTTCAATGGTCGCGAGGCAGGTTTGAAAATAATTATGAATTGCAATAGAACCCCGATTATTCAAATTAATGTGGACCAATAATACTTCGGATAATACGGATTGCCGCAGACATTTTGATTAAAAATCACAAATAAGTTAAAAGTGATACCATTGCAACTTTAATGAATTACGAAACAGTATTAAAAAATTACTTAATTGAACTTACTAACACTTCGACAAAATCCAAAATCCGTTAATTTGATAATATCATTACTGGTAATAAGTAAATTTTCACACTTCAAATCTCTGTGACTAATATTTTGACTATGGAGATAATCCATAGCCTTGACAAGAAATCGAAAATACTTTTTTGCTTTCTTATCAGGAAGAAATTGTTTTCTCTGATGAAATATTAAAATATTGTTTAAGAGAATTATAATAATAAAAGTAATAAATTTATTATTTTTTACTTGTATATAATCTTGTAAATCTCCTTTTTCAGCAAACTCCATGAATATGTAGATGTGATTTTTGGAAAACATGATTCTATGAATAGCGATGATATTTGGATGTATTAGTTGGGAGAGCACTTCTATTTCTCGAGGAAGAAAATAGTCTCTAAATCTCTTAGAAATATCTTTTATAGAAATTATTTTGATTGCAATCAGGTTACCATTCTTCTCTGCTATTCTAATAAAATATTTATATTTTAGGGCGTTTCTTTTTTCACTTTATATTCTTTCGACTCTGCGAGTACTAAAGCCCTATAATCATGCCTACAATGGGTTTGGCCAAGTCCGCAAAGGAGGCCTTCAAGTGGTAAAGAACTGAGCCTCCACATAAACAACTATCAACACACAAAGTGTCTAGTTCTGCTAGGACTCAAATCCTGATCCTAGTAGACTCAGGATTTTCAGTTTTGATTCTTTCTGCCCTGTGGGTACTGAGAGAGCATTTTTCCATGCCCTTCGTGGATTTGGCCAGCCCCATAATATAGGCGGTCGAGCAGTGAGGAAAAAGCCCACCATATAAAGTCCGGATTAGACCCCGGATCTCCCAGAGCTATAAGATGACACCTTAACTGCTTAGACCAATTGGCCATCTTTAAATGTGACCATAAAGCGATAACTTATTTTACTCTTACAAAAAAAATTGATTAAGCATAACTTATATCCAAATTATTAACAATTTTTAACAAAATGAATTAATCTAACCTAACTGTTGAATAAGCTCCTTTTCCAATCACAGCACCTACTTCAAAACCTTCAGACCAAATAATTTCCAACGGCCCGCGATCTAAAAAACAATTTGTTTTAACCAAGTCCTCCATAAACTCAATTCCAATCTCTCGTGAATTTAGTTTCATAAAATAATATTGTTTATTAAATAATAATCTTCGTATTATTTTGTAATAATATACATTAATAAATGCATATTGTTAGTTAATACCGTATTACTATTTTTTGCATGGTATGTAGTATATTATATACTGTACACCAGCGCTGTCCAACTTATCATAGCCATATTTTCGGGCCATATTTTCTTCACCAAACATTTCGGGGGCCAAGAAGGTTGATAAACCACATGACATTTGCATAGTGCTACGATTCAGTAAGCACTAATTGGTCAGCGAGTCCGATGTTGACGCTATAAAAAGGCGACAGTTCGACACACCGGATATACGTCACTCTCGTCTAAGTTCGACTTGGGAATTTTTTTGTTCAATAATAAATGTGAATTCTTCTTCCTGGAAAAAATAAGACATTCCCTGAAAATAAGACCTAGCGCATTTTTCAGAGCAAAAATTAATATAAGACACTGTCTTATTTTCGGGGAAACACGGTAGTAAAATAATTTTAATATTAATAATAATAATTTAGTAACATAAATTTATTCATAGTAAAATGTACTCGCGGGCCGTAAAAATTATTTGGCGGGCCGTATACGGCCCGCGGGCCGCCAGTTGGACAGCGCTGCTGTACACTACCCAACTACACCTTAAGCTGCCGAGAAAATTTATTTAAACGTAACTAACGTTTTCGGCCTATTCGATAGGCCATCCTCAGGTTAAATGAGAAAAAATAACAGTCTTCTAAAAAATAGAATATATAAATTCAAAAACAAAACTAACGGAAGAACTATATATATACACATGTATAAATATAAAATAAAATAATAATCAGATGTATTATTATATATCGTGTAATAATATCGTATATAAAATACCAAAAATGTAAAAAGCTTTCTAAGTACTTCCACAGAGATGGTAGCCCTTTTGCGTCCCTTGCATTAATGCCCACATCTTGTAGTTTGCCCTTATAAATCTTTTCTGCGCTCATCGCTAAAGTCGGGGAGCGTAAGGACTTAACAATATCTGCTTTCTCCCATTTTACTATGGAGCTTTCAGCCTGCGCTATGAGATAATCCCTTATTGATATTATATTTGTGCTCCTTCAGTCTGATTCCCAAATTTATTGTAGTAACACCAATATAGTTTTTCTTGATTCCTAATTACATGTTTTCGTAAGGATACCGTACACTCCTGCTTTTCCTACTTTATTAATGCTGTCCTTGTCATTCCTTAATTAATATCTTATAGAGGTTCGGAGCTCTTTTCAAAATCATTTTGGACTTTTTGTTGGTCCGAAATTCCTTTCATACTACTATTGTACGTGAAATTTATGACTTCACCGATATCGCCGTAGTGTCTTTGCTGTGCCCATTTTGTAGCTTCCAATCATTCCTGTTATCACATCTGCTCTGTATCCTAACCTGCAATATTCTGTTAATCTCCTGTCTATCAACCACACTACTACAATACAGAAAGGCCCTTCTAATGAGAGCTCGGAACGCAGTCAGTTTATATCGGTAAGGATCATTCGAGTGTGACGGGATGTAAAGCGGTCTATGCGTCGGTTTGACATACATATTGGTGACCAAATGTTCTTTGAATTCAATATTTATATCTAAAAAAATGTATCCTTGAGGAACCTTTGTTTAAACTTCAACTTAAAGCCGTCATTGTATTTGTATTTGAATTTATATATTCTATTTTTAGAACACCAATATTTTTTCTCATTTAATCTGAGGATGACCTATTGAATAGGCCGAAAACATTAGTTACGTTTAAATAAATTTTCTTAGCAACTTAAGGTGTAGTTGGGTAGTCTATTATTTGCTGAGTGAGCTTTGTTAATTATATATTGTACTGTACTTCCTAAATACAGTGAAGTACGTTTAATTAAAGATAATTTTTACGAAAGCTGTTAATCGGAGACCTTCTATAATGGAATTTTTCGGTCCATTAGAGATATTCAATGGACCGATTTTATTTAATACTGTATTAAATAAAAGTTAATGTTTGTTAATAAATTACTACTATTGATGATATTAATTTCCAGGCACCATGGTAGGCAGAGAAATTGTCTACAAACCATTTACAAGCTGATGTTCATGGCCAAGTAAATTCTTTTTAGGAGTTACGTAACTTATCATTTATTCTGTACAGGTATACAATGTATATTGTAAAATATTGAAAGTTATGATTTTTTTCAAATTGGATATTTTGACCAATCAAATGTTCAAAATCCTATCATGATGGGAGAATTTTGTTTTTGTGTCAAGCAGTCTTCTAACACCAAATCTTTTTGTCTTTATTTTTTTCTATGTGAACGATTTTAGTGTTTTGTTTACAAATCTGTTAGCAGTTTAACAAATATCATAAAGCTGATTCTCCTCTACCTTAAGCTTAATCTACAGTAAATCTGAATCCCAACAGTACAATTCTACTTGCAATAATCAAACTTAACTTTTATTATTAATTTAAATCCATATTTAGCTTGCACTGTAAAAATATAATCAATGTCAGATAATATATTAAACTTGTTTTTGGAAATTTTCATTAATTTTTATAATTCAGAACTTATCAATTTTCATTAAATGTTCAAATTGTTAAAATGTTTTTCTACATATAATTTTAATAGCTGTACATAAATCCATCACTGACAAGGTTAATTTCTAAATTATTTGTGTATATAATTAGATTTTATATATAAAACATTATTAAAAAATAAATTAAAACATATGTCAGTACCTCAGTTTTATTGCAATCACTCAAATATTTTAATTCACAATTCAAAATACAGTGTTTATTTTGCTCAGATTCAACTGGAAAAATATTTTAAAATATTCATCACAAATTTATATTCATTCTCTATATACAAATTTCTCATAAGAGAAACAATCATTAAAAATAAAAAATATTTTTGGAAATGTGTTTCAAAGGAATGCTTATCCAGTTTTCATATATATACACAACAGAAAATATACATTTTTCCATAAAAATGGTAAGATATCTCCTTAATAAGTATACCTTAAAGAGATTTTAAAAAAATGGAATATATTATACATATACATATATATAATATATTTTATGAAATACCTATTTTGCTTAAAGATAGTTTCAGCAACACAAACTTTTTATCAGTTGTATAAGATAATAAAATCTTAAACTTCAATATGTTCACAATATCAAATGCACAAATGTGAAGAAAAATTGTTTTTATACATAATTTATAATTTATTAAAATATTTAACATTTTCTTGTAACATAAATTTTATCAAATAATATTTACAAAATTATTATTACTTTAACCACTTGGTTCCTGCACAATTTTTTAAAATTAATATTAAAAAAATATAACAGATAAAGTAAGCCTTCAATGAAATTGAATAAATAAATATTGCCATAAAAACAAATATTTGATATGAAAATATTGCATTTACTGCTATTAACCTAATTAAATAAAAAAAAATACAAAGGAACCTTTTACCATTAAATAAAATTCAAATTGTTTACTTAAAACACTTGCCACATTCTAAACTTTCAACAAAATATACATAAATGTTACAATTTACAAATTCATATGTAGCAGAATCTGCTTATTGTAATCACTTTTAGAAATCCCTTATACTAATGACAATAACTAATTCATAATATCAATTAAACAGAGTAAATAAATAAGATTACAATTAGTGAATATTCTGATTTTACTGATTGACATTAAAACAATTGAAAAATGTATTCTTATTAATTAATATCAATTTATCCAGTATTGGATTGGAGTAAGAAATACTAGCAATTTAAACTACTGTACTGCAAGCAAATAATGACCGAAGTGTTAACATTTAAAGCACTGATTAAGATTGATAATGATTGCACATTATCAATCATACATTGAGGCCGATAGTGCAACAAGACAGTTTAAAAAATGTCTATTTAGCCAAAGACAATAACTAACCAAAATTCTAATTACAATAAGTTTAATTACATTAAATGTATTTTAACTTTGTCTTTTGAGGCATGCAAACTCTGTTAACACTAAACAACTAATATTAATGTCCATGATTACAATAAGTGGAATCTACTGTATATGTGAAAATATTTACAAACTCATTAATAATAAAATTAGACTTTTAAAATTGGAAAAAAATAAGCTAAATTAATTGTTTTTTATATTTATCGATGGAATAAAATTAAATTGGTCTATTTTGATTTTAAAAATCAATATAAATGGCAAAAAATAATGAGAAAAATGTTAATGAAACTCATGAATGCTAACTGAAATTAATATCTTTGTTTATCCATAATCAATTGTTTACAGATATCAATCTGTATATTGCATATATTCAACTGATTGTCCTCCTCGTAACTGCAATTTGTTCCTTATTTACTCATAAATCACTTTCTTTAGAGGGTTATACATTAAGCACATGGCTATTTATAGTTAATCAAATTAATTGAAATAGAATATATTTGTTTATTTAGAAATTTTTTCACATATTAAAAATACTTTAATTAAAACTTTAATTTTTATTTGCTTTAATAAATTATTACTATTCTAAATGACATTTTAGTCTTCTTAATTTTATTTTACACTTCTATAAAAGCAAGCATTCAAGTAGCCAAAGAAATAATATATTTTAGTTAAATCTAATTATTGGAATAAGATTAACTTTTAAACAATTAAGTATTTTTAAATGAAATTAAAGTGAATTTAATTCTATACAATTTGACAGATACATTATTGAAAGGAAAATGATAAGTTCTCATTTTATAAGTAATTAAAATATAAAATTAAGAAATACAGAATATAATTAAAGTTATTGCTTGCTTAATTAGACTTAATTGTCAATTGTTGAAAGGGATTACACACACTTTTTATTTCTATGAGCAAGAAAAAAATTATTTATTGAACTCTGAATAATGCATTTCAATCACAGTAAATTTAAACTAATCATTATAAATCATTAGAATGATTAAGTATGATTAAGTACAATGTTTTCAATACCAAATGATAGAATATCATTTAAAATGTATAATGATAATATGTATTAAACTTAAGATTTTACATTACCTGAAAATATAACTGAAACTAATGCAAGTATTTGTGTTATTGATTGAATTTATTAATAGAAGAAAGTGACTGAAGTGAATGTACTTGACTAATAATATTTTTCTGTTTGAGTTTTTCAGTTATTATTTAATTAATAACAAAGCATTTTATTCATGGTGCAGGGAGACATCAATATCATTATCAATATTTTAGAAAAATGCCTAAGAAAAGAAAATGTGATGATTATGTAGTGATATTGACACTCCTTGTCCTCCCTCAACTGTGGTTTTGTCAGTCCATGTGCAATCCATTTTCATGTAGTCGTAAATGGCAATAAGAAATGTAGACAAAGGGCCGTAAAAGGAAGGGAGTAAAGGCGGGAAAAAAGGGTCAGGCAGAGGAGGTAGGAGATTGAGAGAAATAGGAAGCAGTAGTGAAGTGGTGGTGTCCGAAAGTGGAATTAGAGATTAAAGTTTTTGTGTTACAATATTTGGCTGTTTGAGTTTCTGTGTGACGAACTAACAGGACGGAATCCGTAAATCAGATCGGGTTCTCTACATTGGCGCAGCCAACAGGATAGTGAAGCCAGATCGATAAGATTCGATCTATGAAAAGAGTGATTACGATCCAGAATAAGAAGAGTTGATCAACAACTGGGCTGAGTGGATAACTGAGCACGGAACAAAGGTTTGAGGAATATACAGATTTTACATGGGAGAAGAGGTAGGAAAACTTTTTACTTTGTCGGAAATGAATTCCTCAGTGGAATGCTAAGCGTAAAGGGAGTTAAAAAAGAAGATCTATGGATCGTGGCACAATACATGATGATCTGAGGGTATCAAAGTTAAGGGAACTTATTATAAAAAGTGATGATTTTGCTAGTGACCTAGATTTTGTGTTGGAAATTTTGACCTCTACCATTGCCAAGAAGAAACAGAAAGAAGAACAAGAAAGCTACAAGCTGAAAGGACGCAGGTAGAAGCTGAGAGAGAAAGGGGATGCCAGCATGAGTTGGAGCTGGCGCAGATTAGTGCTAATATTCAAGGTAGGACGAGTAACAATAATCCTAGCCTTGCGGACAGCCACCCGGGTGACAGGCCTGTTATGAGTATTGAGAAATTAATCAAAAGTGTGAAAACATGAATGCTGACAGTCCCACTAAGTCTGAAAATTGGAACCTATTTTTCCTATCCAGTGAGCATTTCAATCAAAGAACGTGCCAGAGGAGATGAAAGCCGAGATACTGATCAATATTCTGGGGGAAAAGGCTGCAAACATATTAATCTATATAGCCGAAGACGAATTATGGGATTACTTAAGCATCAAGAAATTAGTATTGTGAGAATACAAACCATCAGCCCAATGCTGCCTGGAAAATTTCCGAAGTGCTATGCGTAGACCCAACGAGACTCACATGCAATTTGTGTTGAGATTAGCATCGGCTTGGGAAAGTATTATTGTGTATTGAAAGTATTAAAGTGAGTATTATTGTGAGTTGAGGAGAGTGAAGGACCTAGAAGCTTTAAAACAACTAATCATGTAGGATAGATTATTCCAGACGTTGGATGTCGACATGGCAGCTCATGTAAGTGTCCATCAGGGTGAGAGCTGAAAGTGCAATTTATATTTTGAAAGTAAAGGAAAGTCACTAACTGAGACATGCAATGATTCATGGAGATTGTGGCACCCTTCAGAACATCAGGGTCCTGATCAGAAATATGATCCCCCTCTGAGAGACAAGAGATGAAAAAACAAGTTAACTGCCACCAATAAATGAAACGGAGGGAGTGTTTTACTGTAGATCAACACAAGATATTTCTAGGTTCTGTCCACAGAGGATGAGAAACCAGCCCATAAACGATAATCACACTCAATGACCCTCAACGGATTGGAGACAAAACAATGGTTCAGCTGTCGATTACTTACAAGATCTTAAGGGTAGATTGGAAACAGTAGCACATCATACCACATTAACAGCAAACAAAAACCAAAGAGCATAAACAGAGCACTTCAATCAGAGGTCATCGATAAGAAAGTTTGAAGTCAGGGATCAAGTCATTCTACTAATTCCCAACTAGGATAACAAGATTTACACACAATGGACCAGTCACGACAAAAAGTGCAGTTTTGCCATCCACATTCGTACAAAGTCAAACTGCCTGGAAATAACACCAGGCAAGTTCATGCTAAGAAGATTCGGAAATATTACCCCAGAGTGAAAGATATCAGAGTAATATTTGAAAGTGAGAGAAAATTTGAGGAGATACACCCTATCCCAAAGATCAATGATAACGTGACCTTCGAAGAAGTACTAGAACATCATGTTTTGATCACTTCAGTCACAAACAACAGACGCAAATCAACAACCTATTAGAAAAGAACCGTTCCTTATTCACCAAGAGAGTCCGTGTTGCGAAGGTAAGTGAACATAAAATCAGGTTGAGCCCGGGTCAGACGAGGAAGAAGCCGCATGTATATAAAATTCCCGAAACTTTGAAGCCCAAGGTAGATGAGCAGATTGAAGGAACTCTTACGTTTGGGATTGACAGAGAAAAGCTATGCAGAGAGATAGCACATCTGGTCGTGTGTGTGAGTAAGAGGGACGGTGGCATGTGGTTGTGTGTAGATTACCTTTCTTAATGCCGTTACAATAACCAATGATTTTCCTATGGAGGAGGCCTTTCAATTGATCAGTCACATCAGTGCAGCAAACATCATCACTTCCTCAGACTTACTGAAAGGTTATTGGATGATACCTATGGAGGTCGTATTTTGGCCTTTTTGTGCTTTTTGAGAGGTAAGGGGCCTAAAACCACAAATAAAAAAAAACCTATGGAGGTCAAGAGTAGAGACTTCACATCTTTTAAAACACACAGAGGACAGTATTGTTTCAAGGTCATGGCATTTGGTTTAAAGAATGCCACCTCCACCTTTCAAAGAGAAACGAACAAAGCCCTAGCTCAATTTTGAGATTTGGCGCAGACATACATTGATGACATTGCCGTCTCTTTGAGTGACTGGGGAACATATCTGGACCATCTAGATAAGGTTCTCATGAAATTGGAAGAACTACATTTCACCATAAATATCAAAAAATGCTCCTTTGTTAAACCCGAGATCAAGTATCTCAGGCATGTCATCAGTTTGGGGAAGCTTCGCACAGACTCTGACAAGGTTCAAGCCATCTCACAATTACCCTTACCTGGAACGAAAAGGCAATTAAGAAGCCTTTCAGGTTTATGCAACTATTATAGAGAATATATACCCAACTATGTTGCTGTAGCCTATCCACTCACTGAACTTACCAAAAGAAAGGTTCCAGACATTCTGCCCTGGACCAGAGTTCACAACATTGCATTTTACCACTTAAAGATAGCTTTAATGAAAGCACCCACACTTCATACCCCAGTGCTGGGACAGCCTTTCATAATCCAGACAGACTCATCACAGGTGGGAATATCTGCCTGTCTGTCACAATGATCTCAGGGAAAAATGTACCCAATATCCTACGCCTGCCAAAAACTGACTCTAACTCAACAAGCGTGGTCTACAATTGAACGTAAAGCTTACGCCGTTGTATGGGTCTAAAGAAGTTCGAGACATGGATTTTTGGTGCAGAGATCGAGCTACAAACTGATCATAACCCATTGACATTTTTGACAAAGAGCGCACCACAGTTATCGAGGCTACAGCAATGGGTGTTGGCTCTACAGAGACATCATCATCATCAAGCATTGTCCTGGAGCTCAACTGAACAATGCAGATGCTCTTTCAAGACTTGTTTATGAAAAGGAAGATAGTCATTATGTTCATGACATTAACAGTAACTTTTATTTCCATGCATAGTGATAAAATTTGAGTAAAAGGAAAATTGTGATGAGTTGTGAGTCGCCTATATGAGCATTATGTATTCTTGGGAAACTTCACTCTATTGTACTCTTGTTTTTTGGGAGTTTAGTCCAGATCTGTGTTCAGGTTACCACCCTAACAGTTTATTTTGTGGCGGGGATGTAGTGATATTGGCACTCCTGATCCTCCCTCAACTGCGGTTTTATCGGTCCATGTGCAATCCATTTTCATGTAGTCATAAATGGCAATAAGAAATGTAGACAAAGGGACATAAAATTTTTGGAACGGAGTAAAGGCAGGAAAGAGGATCAGGCAGAGGAAGCAGTAGTGAAGTGGTGGAGTCCGAAAGTGGGATTAGAGATTAAAGTTTTTGTGTTACGATATTTGGTTGTTAGAGTTTCTGTGTGACGAACCAACGGGACAAAATCCATAAATCAGATTGGGTTCTCTACAGGTTAATTAAAACATTATTTGCAGTTAACTGATCATCAAAGCAATTATGCATCCTCCATTTAGAATTAATTAATTTAAAGCAATTGCAAATTATCTGGTTTTATTTTTATATAGTTTGGAGTTTAGCATGAAACAATATAGAACCAAACAACACTTAATGTTTCAGTTTGTTTTCAGATAATGTTGAACCTAATTCTACTCAAAAAGTGCAAACCCTTTTCAACAATTAGCAATTAAATTCATTTTTTTTTAAATATAAATGAAGCATCTAAAATCATAATTAAAAGTTATATTTAATATTCACTTTAACAAAATAACGATTGACAAGTCTCATACAAATTTTCTTTCAAAAGTGTCAGAAAAATTAAATTTTGTTTCTTGTAAAACTATTTAACAAGAAGATTTTGAATTTTCATCATAAAATATAATAGCAAACTAGTATCTAGATTTTTATTATTATTTTCCATTATTTTGTTTAAAGTGATAGTTAATAAGAATTTTTGAATTTTCATAAATATAGCTGCCATAGAAATTGGCAATTATATTTCAGAACTTTAATATTTTTCCAATTAAGATGAACTTTCTAACAACCTCATAAAAGAAATATGAATTTACTGATTCATTTTCTTACTGAGCTTTCATAGAAGCTAATTTTCGTTGTCTTGTCCTAAAAAGTAAACTTTCTTTTAATTAATTACAAACTTTCATCTTTATTTCAGAATTAAATTATAAAAATGAAAATACCTTGACTCTGTTCGATGTGATGTATATTCAAACCACATAACATTTGGAATCAAAGTTGAATCTCTAATCATTAACAATTCACAAATAGGCCTGTAAATGTATTAAATGAAGACATTATTAAATATTTCAATTTCAAAATAATTATATCAATAGTTTCATAATTACTTGAATATACATGCCTGTGTTTTTTTTAAAGTTAATATTATAAAATATGGAGTAAGAGCATAATATAAATTTTATTTTGCATTAATATATAAATAGAAATTTGTTATTCTATTTAAATTTTTATTACTTTGTCTTTTAAGTTTATTTACTTAAAAACACAGTCTACTTCATTATTAATGATTTTTTTTAAATCTGATTAAGATGCAGATTTAAATTAATTTGCTAATGATAAATTTTATCTTATTTTTATTATTAAGAACTGATGACAGCTTTGGAGTTATTTAGACTGATTTTTAATAACTATAAATTTACACGAAAAAACAATATCTGAACCATTCACAGTATAAATACATTTTCTTTTTAAATATCAAATATTTAAATAGCAAATTTGTGGTAGTTAATTCTTTCTTTAATTAAGTATTAAAAAGCAATCATTCTTTGACTGCTTTTTATGAACTTATTGTGAAACAAGAAAGTGGTACAAAGGTGGCATATCTGGAAGCCACGTTTAAGATGCCAAAATCAACAATGCATGAACAGTAAATGCAATTTTACAGTATATACAGTATTTATATATTTCATTTATTGTTTTCATGTATTATTAGTGCATATTTAATTGTGCTAGTTTTACCTTAGATTACATGTATTTGCTGTTTTGATTAAGTTTATCAAAATGAGTATTGTTTAGGATCAGGGAATGGATTAATTCGTTTTCTATTAATTCTAGTGAAAAAGAAATTGATTCAGACTTTAACAGATTCAGAGTTCGAACAGCCTCCTGGAATGAATTAAATTTGAAGTATGAGACACCACTGCATATAAATTTATCAATATTATGACTAACAAAAGTACCCAACATGAACATAATTCTGAACCCCATTGAAACTTATATCCAACTTTCATTTACAGAAACTAATTCCATTTTTTTTTATTTATGTTTAATATTTTATAATATTATTTAGTCTATTTTTCATACAGTAAATTGGACTGGAACATGTACTTATATTTACTAATTATATGAAATCGTATTAGCTGATATACTCATGTCCAAAAATAAACAATCATAATTTGGCCCATATCTGAGGAATGGCTGATCACAACATTGCAAAACTTGAATTCGACTTATTAATGAAACTTATTAATTCAACAAAAGCTAAAAATATCAAAAAACCAATTTTATTATATCAACATTTTAATAAACTTACCAGGATGTAATGACAGGATACAAAGGAGTTAAAAAAAACTGAGTTATCGTAAACCAAACAACTGCAAATACAACTCCAAGCATTGCTCCACATATAACTTGCATTGATGTATGATACTGAAGATATACCCTAATAAATAAATATTTGCAAAAAATGTAAATTTACTTAATATATTAAATTATAATTCTACACAATATTAAACAGTAAAGTATAATAATGAAAATTTATTATTTCTATAATTATAATAAATAAATCTCTCAAAGAGGAGAGAGCAAGTCATTTCAAACAAAATTTTGTTTGTAGAATTCAAATTCATTTGGAAATACAAATAATTAATGACAATAAATTAAACTTTAATTTTGAAAATTAATTGATAAAAGATTTAAAAAATATATTAAAAAAATTGATAGAAAGATTTTTAATTAAAATATTTTATACTTATTTGTATACACTATTAATAGTTTCATTATCTTTAGATAATTTGAATAATCAGTCCAAATTTTTTTTAAAAAGAAATTGTTATATGCAAGAAATGTTTGGCAAAGATAATGATATTTAATTTTTCCAATATTTTATCAAATTTTGTTATTATAAACACAATAAGTAATTTATGAACTTTTTAAAAGTTGCATTATTTTGTAATTATTATTAAAATATTTCTAGACACTTCATCTTTCTTCAATGCATCATCATACTTCCTTGTAAATTTTCATCTCTTTTCAACCCAATGCCAAAATTATTATATCAAATTTACATTTTTCTTCCCTTCCACAATTTTAATATTCATTTTTTAAATTACTTAAATTTTATTATTTTTAATAAATATTAATAAACAATAAAGATATCATCACCAATATAGTTTAAATGGTTTGCAGATAAAAATCATTTGGATCATAACATAACAAGAAATTTTCAAATCAGAAATTATTGGGCATGATAGTCAATAATCACTTTTTAACTACAATCTAACAGTCTAACTGTTTATACATTTCTCAGTTGTATAAAACATCACTAACTCAACACCGGAGTGTAATAAATTAACAAAATCTTCAAGCCTGTTACCGGTGTGTTCATATCTCAGTTGTATATTTTTCACAATTATACATTAAATATTTTGCGTGTGTACTTTCTCCATTATAAAACACTTCAGTTCTGTTTTTTATTTATATGATTTTGCACTTATATATCATATTATTCAGTACCTATAGCACTTTTTCTCATTTATGTGTTTTTCATTTTTAAGTAGAAAAATTTAAAGCAATTATTAAAAAAAGTGAATTATGTATTCACTTCAGTTTAGTCCAAACTGAAGTTTTGAAAATATTAACTTTCTATATTTTGTAGTGTAAACCAATTTTACTAAGTGAATAAAAATTGCTTTCTAGTTTCTATTTGCAATAAATATGAGCTAATCTTTAGAATGACTTCATTCTTTCATATAACTGGGACTTTCTGCAGAAAAAGACAATTGATGTCACATACTTGTACAGTGTGTGGCAAATCCATCACAAAGAAAACAAGAAAGAAATAAAACTTGATCCTTTTTTTTTAAATTTGGTGATGTCTCACACACAATATATGCCCCCTCATTACAACAATCCCAATTAATTAAAAACCAATGCACAATAAAACCAAAATAAAAAAAACAACACGAGAATAACAAAATAATAAAAAAAAAACATGTAAAAAAATTATTTGGAGTAAAGTATCTTCTCACAAATGGCTTTGAATTTATAGGAGTCAAGGAACAATTTCTCGTCGATTTAGGTGGCAGTTTTTTGATAGTGATAGAAAAAAATCTAATTGTTACATTCAGGTGGCAGTTAGGTGAATGAATACAGGTTAATAATTTAATGTTGAATGTAGGATTACGGATAAAGGTATAACAAGCAGGAAGAGGACTGTTAAAATATTTGTATGTATAGATATGATCAAAGTAATCTATACATTGGAATAGGTTAGGGAGGCTGAGACAGATTTGTGCAACATCAGAAGAGTTAGTAGATAGCAGATGCAATAGTTTGTTGAGGGTAAAAAAAACTTTGTTTAGCTCTAGATTAAGTTTATTTAATGCAGATGCAGAAGCCGAAGCCCATATAGGTAAAGCATAATTCAAATTCAGTTGTATAGTTTTCCTCACTAATTCAAAAGTAGTTTCATTTGTATGTTTTCCTCACTTATATAATATTTTTCATATCCTATGAAAAATGTATACATAGAGTTAAATTATACATATAAAGCTGCTGAGCAGCTAATTATATTGCAACAATGACTTCAGACCTGGAAAAAACACAAGTATAAAATATTTAGATAAAGCATAAGCAATCTGTCCAGCATGTGGAAAGTACAAAAGCAAGCTAATATAGAGAAACTTTGAAAAACTTATTTCTTAATACAGTAGTCTCTACAGTCCACTCCTCACCAATCCGACACATCCAGTAATTTAACTCTGCCGCAGGGTAATGTACATGAAATTTTTGTGTTACAACTTGTTTAACTTTATTAATAGATATACAGTTTTAAGCAGGTATCAGAGTCAGATATTTAAAAACTGAGGAGCTGGTATAAGAGTTAGAAACTTAAAAATGATGATGCCAATGTTCTAAGTACTAATTCCACAGTTTTACTAAGAGTGCTTTTACTTTCCTGGCTGTTATATATAACAGAGGGAAAGCATGGCAATCATTCAAAAAATGACCCCTCCCAAGATTTTTACATTTTTGGCTCAAGACACCTTGTAATGTCAAGAAATGCAAAAAATTTAGGGGGTTTATTCTATGTATGAATGTTAGTGTGTGTGTAAGGGGACCACAATTTTGTTCACCTCTTTGAAGCTTAATAACGCCTGTGCTTTTCTTCAAAAATTTCTGAAATTTTGCATGGTGGTTTGTTTATTAGAGGGATTGACGCTATTAAATTTTGACGATTAAAGATCAAGGAGGTGGGGAGATATAGGGAGACCAGCAAAATCAGACTTAATGACAATTTTACTTGTTATTAGCATTTACAACTTTTTATAAAAGCCATCCCTATCCTCAAAATTAAGCTTTTTGCCATTTTATAACAGTTTAAACAGTTAAAAATATAAAAAATTTTTAAAATAAAATATGATAACAGATGGTGCCACAAAATGCTGCCAGAAAAGTTAAGCAACTTGTTTCTGGATTTTTTAATCACAGACTTAATAGATTCAATCAGGCCACAATAAAGGCAGCTGAGTATGAAAGACATATCTGAGAAAGACAAAACATGAAAAATTCCTGAAACTCCAGATTTGAATCCAGGTCCCCAAACAGGGTTTCCTAGGTTAACAACTTTACCTCCATCAGCCATCCAGCCTCTGTGTTATTTTTTGCAAAAAATGTAAATGATTTGTAGCAAAACATTCTGTATTCACAAAAATCAGTTCACTAATCACAAACACTCAATTATAGTAGTTTTTATAGTTTTCAACATAACTAATTTTATAATAATAATAATAATAAACTAAAACTTTTATAGCCAAATGATTATAAATGCTTTNAACCTAATTAAATAAAAAAAAATACAAAGGAACCTTTTACCATTAAATAAAATTCAAATTGTTTACTTAAAACACTTGCCACATTCTAAACTTTCAACAAAATATACATAAATGTTACAATTTACAAATTCATATGTAGCAGAATCTGCTTATTGTAATCACTTTTAGAAATCCCTTATACTAATGACAATAACTAATTCATAATATCAATTAAACAGAGTAAATAAATAAGATTACAATTAGTGAATATTCTGATTTTACTGATTGACATTAAAACAATTGAAAAATGTATTCTTATTAATTAATATCAATTTATCCAGTATTGGATTGGAGTAAGAAATACTAGCAATTTAAACTACTGTACTGCAAGCAAATAATGACCGAAGTGTTAACATTTAAAGCACTGATTAAGATTGATAATGATTGCACATTATCAATCATACATTGAGGCCGATAGTGCAACAAGACAGTTTAAAAAATGTCTATTTAGCCAAAGACAATAACTAACCAAAATTCTAATTACAATAAGTTTAATTACATTAAATGTATTTTAACTTTGTCTTTTGAGGCATGCAAACTCTGTTAACACTAAACAACTAATATTAATGTCCATGATTACAATAAGTGGAATCTACTGTATATGTGAAAATATTTACAAACTCATTAATAATAAAATTAGACTTTTAAAATTGGAAAAAAATAAGCTAAATTAATTGTTTTTTATATTTATCGATGGAATAAAATTAAATTGGTCTATTTTGATTTTAAAAATCAATATAAATGGCAAAAAATAATGAGAAAAATGTTAATGAAACTCATGAATGCTAACTGAAATTAATATCTTTGTTTATCCATAATCAATTGTTTACAGATATCAATCTGTATATTGCATATATTCAACTGATTGTCCTCCTCGTAACTGCAATTTGTTCCTTATTTACTCATAAATCACTTTCTTTAGAGGGTTATACATTAAGCACATGGCTATTTATAGTTAATCAAATTAATTGAAATAGAATATATTTGTTTATTTAGAAATTTTTTCACATATTAAAAATACTTTAATTAAAACTTTAATTTTTATTTGCTTTAATAAATTATTACTATTCTAAATGACATTTTAGTCTTCTTAATTTTATTTTACACTTCTATAAAAGCAAGCATTCAAGTAGCCAAAGAAATAATATATTTTAGTTAAATCTAATTATTGGAATAAGATTAACTTTTAAACAATTAAGTATTTTTAAATGAAATTAAAGTGAATTTAATTCTATACAATTTGACAGATACATTATTGAAAGGAAAATGATAAGTTCTCATTTTATAAGTAATTAAAATATAAAATTAAGAAATACAGAATATAATTAAAGTTATTGCTTGCTTAATTAGACTTAATTGTCAATTGTTGAAAGGGATTACACACACTTTTTATTTCTATGAGCAAGAAAAAAATTATTTATTGAACTCTGAATAATGCATTTCAATCACAGTAAATTTAAACTAATCATTATAAATCATTAGAATGATTAAGTATGATTAAGTACAATGTTTTCAATACCAAATGATAGAATATCATTTAAAATGTATAATGATAATATGTATTAAACTTAAGATTTTACATTACCTGAAAATATAACTGAAACTAATGCAAGTATTTGTGTTATTGATTGAATTTATTAATAGAAGAAAGTGACTGAAGTGAATGTACTTGACTAATAATATTTTTCTGTTTGAGTTTTTCAGTTATTATTTAATTAATAACAAAGCATTTTATTCATGGTGCAGGGAGACATCAATATCATTATCAATATTTTAGAAAAATGCCTAAGAAAAGAAAATGTGATGATTATGTAGTGATATTGACACTCCTTGTCCTCCCTCAACTGTGGTTTTGTCAGTCCATGTGCAATCCATTTTCATGTAGTCGTAAATGGCAATAAGAAATGTAGACAAAGGGCCGTAAAAGGAAGGGAGTAAAGGCGGGAAAAAAGGGTCAGGCAGAGGAGGTAGGAGATTGAGAGAAATAGGAAGCAGTAGTGAAGTGGTGGTGTCCGAAAGTGGAATTAGAGATTAAAGTTTTTGTGTTACAATATTTGGCTGTTTGAGTTTCTGTGTGACGAACTAACAGGACGGAATCCGTAAATCAGATCGGGTTCTCTACATTGGCGCAGCCAACAGGATAGTGAAGCCAGATCGATAAGATTCGATCTATGAAAAGAGTGATTACGATCCAGAATAAGAAGAGTTGATCAACAACTGGGCTGAGTGGATAACTGAGCACGGAACAAAGGTTTGAGGAATATACAGATTTTACATGGGAGAAGAGGTAGGAAAACTTTTTACTTTGTCGGAAATGAATTCCTCAGTGGAATGCTAAGCGTAAAGGGAGTTAAAAAAGAAGATCTATGGATCGTGGCACAATACATGATGATCTGAGGGTATCAAAGTTAAGGGAACTTATTATAAAAAGTGATGATTTTGCTAGTGACCTAGATTTTGTGTTGGAAATTTTGACCTCTACCATTGCCAAGAAGAAACAGAAAGAAGAACAAGAAAGCTACAAGCTGAAAGGACGCAGGTAGAAGCTGAGAGAGAAAGGGGATGCCAGCATGAGTTGGAGCTGGCGCAGATTAGTGCTAATATTCAAGGTAGGACGAGTAACAATAATCCTAGCCTTGCGGACAGCCACCCGGGTGACAGGCCTGTTATGAGTATTGAGAAATTAATCAAAAGTGTGAAAACATGAATGCTGACAGTCCCACTAAGTCTGAAAATTGGAACCTATTTTTCCTATCCAGTGAGCATTTCAATCAAAGAACGTGCCAGAGGAGATGAAAGCCGAGATACTGATCAATATTCTGGGGGAAAAGGCTGCAAACATATTAATCTATATAGCCGAAGACGAATTATGGGATTACTTAAGCATCAAGAAATTAGTATTGTGAGAATACAAACCATCAGCCCAATGCTGCCTGGAAAATTTCCGAAGTGCTATGCGTAGACCCAACGAGACTCACATGCAATTTGTGTTGAGATTAGCATCGGCTTGGGAAAGTATTATTGTGTATTGAAAGTATTAAAGTGAGTATTATTGTGAGTTGAGGAGAGTGAAGGACCTAGAAGCTTTAAAACAACTAATCATGTAGGATAGATTATTCCAGACGTTGGATGTCGACATGGCAGCTCATGTAAGTGTCCATCAGGGTGAGAGCTGAAAGTGCAATTTATATTTTGAAAGTAAAGGAAAGTCACTAACTGAGACATGCAATGATTCATGGAGATTGTGGCACCCTTCAGAACATCAGGGTCCTGATCAGAAATATGATCCCCCTCTGAGAGACAAGAGATGAAAAAACAAGTTAACTGCCACCAATAAATGAAACGGAGGGAGTGTTTTACTGTAGATCAACACAAGATATTTCTAGGTTCTGTCCACAGAGGATGAGAAACCAGCCCATAAACGATAATCACACTCAATGACCCTCAACGGATTGGAGACAAAACAATGGTTCAGCTGTCGATTACTTACAAGATCTTAAGGGTAGATTGGAAACAGTAGCACATCATACCACATTAACAGCAAACAAAAACCAAAGAGCATAAACAGAGCACTTCAATCAGAGGTCATCGATAAGAAAGTTTGAAGTCAGGGATCAAGTCATTCTACTAATTCCCAACTAGGATAACAAGATTTACACACAATGGACCAGTCACGACAAAAAGTGCAGTTTTGCCATCCACATTCGTACAAAGTCAAACTGCCTGGAAATAACACCAGGCAAGTTCATGCTAAGAAGATTCGGAAATATTACCCCAGAGTGAAAGATATCAGAGTAATATTTGAAAGTGAGAGAAAATTTGAGGAGATACACCCTATCCCAAAGATCAATGATAACGTGACCTTCGAAGAAGTACTAGAACATCATGTTTTGATCACTTCAGTCACAAACAACAGACGCAAATCAACAACCTATTAGAAAAGAACCGTTCCTTATTCACCAAGAGAGTCCGTGTTGCGAAGGTAAGTGAACATAAAATCAGGTTGAGCCCGGGTCAGACGAGGAAGAAGCCGCATGTATATAAAATTCCCGAAACTTTGAAGCCCAAGGTAGATGAGCAGATTGAAGGAACTCTTACGTTTGGGATTGACAGAGAAAAGCTATGCAGAGAGATAGCACATCTGGTCGTGTGTGTGAGTAAGAGGGACGGTGGCATGTGGTTGTGTGTAGATTACCTTTCTTAATGCCGTTACAATAACCAATGATTTTCCTATGGAGGAGGCCTTTCAATTGATCAGTCACATCAGTGCAGCAAACATCATCACTTCCTCAGACTTACTGAAAGGTTATTGGATGATACCTATGGAGGTCGTATTTTGGCCTTTTTGTGCTTTTTGAGAGGTAAGGGGCCTAAAACCACAAATAAAAAAAAACCTATGGAGGTCAAGAGTAGAGACTTCACATCTTTTAAAACACACAGAGGACAGTATTGTTTCAAGGTCATGGCATTTGGTTTAAAGAATGCCACCTCCACCTTTCAAAGAGAAACGAACAAAGCCCTAGCTCAATTTTGAGATTTGGCGCAGACATACATTGATGACATTGCCGTCTCTTTGAGTGACTGGGGAACATATCTGGACCATCTAGATAAGGTTCTCATGAAATTGGAAGAACTACATTTCACCATAAATATCAAAAAATGCTCCTTTGTTAAACCCGAGATCAAGTATCTCAGGCATGTCATCAGTTTGGGGAAGCTTCGCACAGACTCTGACAAGGTTCAAGCCATCTCACAATTACCCTTACCTGGAACGAAAAGGCAATTAAGAAGCCTTTCAGGTTTATGCAACTATTATAGAGAATATATACCCAACTATGTTGCTGTAGCCTATCCACTCACTGAACTTACCAAAAGAAAGGTTCCAGACATTCTGCCCTGGACCAGAGTTCACAACATTGCATTTTACCACTTAAAGATAGCTTTAATGAAAGCACCCACACTTCATACCCCAGTGCTGGGACAGCCTTTCATAATCCAGACAGACTCATCACAGGTGGGAATATCTGCCTGTCTGTCACAATGATCTCAGGGAAAAATGTACCCAATATCCTACGCCTGCCAAAAACTGACTCTAACTCAACAAGCGTGGTCTACAATTGAACGTAAAGCTTACGCCGTTGTATGGGTCTAAAGAAGTTCGAGACATGGATTTTTGGTGCAGAGATCGAGCTACAAACTGATCATAACCCATTGACATTTTTGACAAAGAGCGCACCACAGTTATCGAGGCTACAGCAATGGGTGTTGGCTCTACAGAGACATCATCATCATCAAGCATTGTCCTGGAGCTCAACTGAACAATGCAGATGCTCTTTCAAGACTTGTTTATGAAAAGGAAGATAGTCATTATGTTCATGACATTAACAGTAACTTTTATTTCCATGCATAGTGATAAAATTTGAGTAAAAGGAAAATTGTGATGAGTTGTGAGTCGCCTATATGAGCATTATGTATTCTTGGGAAACTTCACTCTATTGTACTCTTGTTTTTTGGGAGTTTAGTCCAGATCTGTGTTCAGGTTACCACCCTAACAGTTTATTTTGTGGCGGGGATGTAGTGATATTGGCACTCCTGATCCTCCCTCAACTGCGGTTTTATCGGTCCATGTGCAATCCATTTTCATGTAGTCATAAATGGCAATAAGAAATGTAGACAAAGGGACATAAAATTTTTGGAACGGAGTAAAGGCAGGAAAGAGGATCAGGCAGAGGAAGCAGTAGTGAAGTGGTGGAGTCCGAAAGTGGGATTAGAGATTAAAGTTTTTGTGTTACGATATTTGGTTGTTAGAGTTTCTGTGTGACGAACCAACGGGACAAAATCCATAAATCAGATTGGGTTCTCTACAGGTTAATTAAAACATTATTTGCAGTTAACAGATCAAAGCAATTATGCATCCTCCATTTAGAATTAATTAATTTAAAGCAATTGCAAATTATCTGGTTTTATTTTTATATAGTATGGAGTTTAGCATGAAACAATATAGAACCAAACAACACTTAATGTTTCAGTTTGTTTTCAGATAATGTTGAACCTAATTCTACTCAAAAAGTGCAAACCCTTTTCAACAATTAGCAATTAAATTCATTTTTTTTTAAATATAAATGAAGCATCTAAAATCATAATTAAAAGTTATATTTGATATTCACTTTAACAAAATAACGATTGACAAGTCTCAAATAAATTTTCTTTCAAAAGTGTCAGAAAAATTAAATTTTGTTTCTTGTAAAACTATTTAACAAGAAGATTTTGAATTTTCATCATAAAATATAATAGCAAACTAGTATCTAGATTTTTATTATTTTCCATTATTTTGTTTAAAGTGATAGTTAACAAGAATTTTTGAATTTTCATAAATGTAGCTGCCATAGAAATTGGCAATTATATTTCAGAACTTTAATATTTTTCCAATTAAGATGAACTTTCTAACAACCTCATAAAAGAAATATGAATTTACTGATTCATTTTCTTACTGAGCTTTCATAGAAGCTAATTTTCGTTGTCTTGTCCTAAAAAGTAAACTTTCTTTTAATTAATTACAAACTTTCATCTTTATTTCAGAATTAAATTATAAAAATGAAAATACCTTGACTCTGTTCGATGTGATGTATATTCAAACCACATAACATTTGGAATCAAAGTTGAATCTCTAATCATTAACAATTCACAAATAGGCCTGTAAATGTATTAAATGAAGACATTATTAAATATTTCAATTTCAAAATAATTATATCAATAGTTTCATAATTACTTGAATATACATGCCTGTGTTTTTTTTAAAGTTAATATTATAAAATATGGAGTAAGAGCATAATATAAATTTTATTTTGCATTAATATATAAATAGAAATTTGTTATTCTATTTAAATTTTTATTACTTTGTCTTTTAAGTTTATTTACTTAAAAACACAGTCTACTTCATTATTAATGATTTTTTTTAAATCTGATTAAGATGCAGATTTAAATTAATTTGCTAATGATAAATTTTATCTTATTTTTATTATTAAGAACTGATGACAGCTTTGGAGTTATTTAGACTGATTTTTAATAACTATAAATTTACACGAAAAAACAATATCTGAACCATTCACAGTATAAATACATTTTCTTTTTAAATATCAAATATTTAAATAGCAAATTTGTGGTAGTTAATTCTTTCTTTAATTAAGTATTAAAAAGCAATCATTCTTTGACTGCTTTTTATGAACTTATTGTGAAACAAGAAAGTGGTACAAAGGTGGCATATCTGGAAGCCACGTTTAAGATGCCAAAATCAACAATGCATGAACAGTAAATGCAATTTTACAGTATATACAGTATTTATATATTTCATTTATTGTTTTCATGTATTATTAGTGCATATTTAATTGTGCTAGTTTTACCTTAGATTACATGTATTTGCTGTTTTGATTAAGTTTATCAAAATGAGTATTGTTTAGGATCAGGGAATGGATTAATTCGTTTTCTATTAATTCTAGTGAAAAAGAAATTGATTCAGACTTTAACAGATTCAGAGTTCGAACAGCCTCCTGGAATGAATTAAATTTGAAGTATGAGACACCACTGCATATAAATTTATCAATATTATGACTAACAAAAGTACCCAACATGAACATAATTCTGAACCCCATTGAAACTTATATCCAACTTTCATTTACAGAAACTAATTCCATTTTTTTTTATTTATGTTTAATATTTTATAATATTATTTAGTCTATTTTTCATACAGTAAATTGGACTGGAACATGTACTTATATTTACTAATTATATGAAATCGTATTAGCTGATATACTCATGTCCAAAAATAAACAATCATAATTTGGCCCATATCTGAGGAATGGCTGATCACAACATTGCAAAACTTGAATTCGACTTATTAATGAAACTTATTAATTCAACAAAAGCTAAAAATATCAAAAAACCAATTTTATTATATCAACATTTTAATAAACTTACCAGGATGTAATGACAGGATACAAAGGAGTTAAAAAAAACTGAGTTATCGTAAACCAAACAACTGCAAATACAACTCCAAGCATTGCTCCACATATAACTTGCATTGATGTATGATACTGAAGATATACCCTAATAAATAAATATTTGCAAAAAATGTAAATTTACTTAATATATTAAATTATAATTCTACACAATATTAAACAGTAAAGTATAATAATGAAAATTTATTATTTCTATAATTATAATAAATAAATCTCTCAAAGAGGAGAGAGCAAGTCATTTCAAACAAAATTTTGTTTGTAGAATTCAAATTCATTTGGAAATACAAATAATTAATGACAATAAATTAAACTTTAATTTTGAAAATTAATTGATAAAAGATTTAAAAAATATATTAAAAAAATTGATAGAAAGATTTTTAATTAAAATATTTTATACTTATTTGTATACACTATTAATAGTTTCATTATCTTTAGATAATTTGAATAATCAGTCCAAATTTTTTTTAAAAAGAAATTGTTATATGCAAGAAATGTTTGGCAAAGATAATGATATTTAATTTTTCCAATATTTTATCAAATTTTGTTATTATAAACACAATAAGTAATTTATGAACTTTTTAAAAGTTGCATTATTTTGTAATTATTATTAAAATATTTCTAGACACTTCATCTTTCTTCAATGCATCATCATACTTCCTTGTAAATTTTCATCTCTTTTCAACCCAATGCCAAAATTATTATATCAAATTTACATTTTTCTTCCCTTCCACAATTTTAATATTCATTTTTTAAATTACTTAAATTTTATTATTTTTAATAAATATTAATAAACAATAAAGATATCATCACCAATATAGTTTAAATGGTTTGCAGATAAAAATCATTTGGATCATAACATAACAAGAAATTTTCAAATCAGAAATTATTGGGCATGATAGTCAATAATCACTTTTTAACTACAATCTAACAGTCTAACTGTTTATACATTTCTCAGTTGTATAAAACATCACTAACTCAACACCGGAGTGTAATAAATTAACAAAATCTTCAAGCCTGTTACCGGTGTGTTCATATCTCAGTTGTATATTTTTCACAATTATACATTAAATATTTTGCGTGTGTACTTTCTCCATTATAAAACACTTCAGTTCTGTTTTTTATTTATATGATTTTGCACTTATATATCATATTATTCAGTACCTATAGCACTTTTTCTCATTTATGTGTTTTTCATTTTTAAGTAGAAAAATTTAAAGCAATTATTAAAAAAAGTGAATTATGTATTCACTTCAGTTTAGTCCAAACTGAAGTTTTGAAAATATTAACTTTCTATATTTTGTAGTGTAAACCAATTTTACTAAGTGAATAAAAATTGCTTTCTAGTTTCTATTTGCAATAAATATGAGCTAATCTTTAGAATGACTTCATTCTTTCATATAACTGGGACTTTCTGCAGAAAAAGACAATTGATGTCACATACTTGTACAGTGTGTGGCAAATCCATCACAAAGAAAACAAGAAAGAAATAAAACTTGATCCTTTTTTTTTAAATTTGGTGATGTCTCACACACAATATATGCCCCCTCATTACAACAATCCCAATTAATTAAAAACCAATGCACAATAAAACCAAAATAAAAAAAACAACACGAGAATAACAAAATAATAAAAAAAAAACATGTAAAAAAATTATTTGGAGTAAAGTATCTTCTCACAAATGGCTTTGAATTTATAGGAGTCAAGGAACAATTTCTCGTCGATTTAGGTGGCAGTTTTTTGATAGTGATAGAAAAAAATCTAATTGTTACATTCAGGTGGCAGTTAGGTGAATGAATACAGGTTAATAATTTAATGTTGAATGTAGGATTACGGATAAAGGTATAACAAGCAGGAAGAGGACTGTTAAAATATTTGTATGTATAGATATGATCAAAGTAATCTATACATTGGAATAGGTTAGGGAGGCTGAGACAGATTTGTGCAACATCAGAAGAGTTAGTAGATAGCAGATGCAATAGTTTGTTGAGGGTAAAAAAAACTTTGTTTAGCTCTAGATTAAGTTTATTTAATGCAGATGCAGAAGCCGAAGCCCATATAGGTAAAGCATAATTCAAATTCAGTTGTATAGTTTTCCTCACTAATTCAAAAGTAGTTTCATTTGTATGTTTTCCTCACTTATATAATATTTTTCATATCCTATGAAAAATGTATACATAGAGTTAAATTATACATATAAAGCTGCTGAGCAGCTAATTATATTGCAACAATGACTTCAGACCTGGAAAAAACACAAGTATAAAATATTTAGATAAAGCATAAGCAATCTGTCCAGCATGTGGAAAGTACAAAAGCAAGCTAATATAGAGAAACTTTGAAAAACTTATTTCTTAATACAGTAGTCTCTACAGTCCACTCCTCACCAATCCGACACATCCAGTAATTTAACTCTGCCGCAGGGTAATGTACATGAAATTTTTGTGTTACAACTTGTTTAACTTTATTAATAGATATACAGTTTTAAGCAGGTATCAGAGTCAGATATTTAAAAACTGAGGAGCTGGTATAAGAGTTAGAAACTTAAAAATGATGATGCCAATGTTCTAAGTACTAATTCCACAGTTTTACTAAGAGTGCTTTTACTTTCCTGGCTGTTATATATAACAGAGGGAAAGCATGGCAATCATTCAAAAAATGACCCCTCCCAAGATTTTTACATTTTTGGCTCAAGACACCTTGTAATGTCAAGAAATGCAAAAAATTTAGGGGGTTTATTCTATGTATGAATGTTAGTGTGTGTGTAAGGGGACCACAATTTTGTTCACCTCTTTGAAGCTTAATAACGCCTGTGCTTTTCTTCAAAAATTTCTGAAATTTTGCATGGTGGTTTGTTTATTAGAGGGATTGACGCTATTAAATTTTGACGATTAAAGATCAAGGAGGTGGGGAGATATAGGGAGACCAGCAAAATCAGACTTAATGACAATTTTACTTGTTATTAGCATTTACAACTTTTTATAAAAGCCATCCCTATCCTCAAAATTACGCTTTTTGCCATTTTATAACAGTTTAAACAGTTAAAAATATAAAAAATTTTTAAAATAAAATATGATAACAGATGGTGCCACAAAATGCTGCCAGAAAAGTTAAGCAACTTGTTTCTGGATTTTTTAATCACAGACTTAATAGATTCAATCAGGCCACAATAAAGGCAGCTGAGTATGAAAGACATATCTGAGAAAGACAAAACATGAAAAATTCCTGAAACTCCAGATTTGAATCCAGGTCCCCAAACAGGGTTTCCTAGGTTAACAACTTTACCTCCATCAGCCATCCAGCCTCTGTGTTATTTTTTGCAAAAAATGTAAATGATTTGTAGCAAAACATTCTGTATTCACAAAAATCAGTTCACTAATCACAAACACTCAATTATAGTAGTTTTTATAGTTTTCAACATAACTAATTTTATAATAATAATAATAATAAACTAAAACTTTTATAGCCAAATGATTATAAATGCTTTTTAATGAATAAGAATACAAAGTAAAAACTTTATATCTAAAATTATTTAATCATCACAAAACAAAGTAATGTTTTAGACAAAATAAATCTGAGTAATTTATTTTTGTCATAATGACCAGAGGTTCTGATGATATTGCCTGTTAAACAGGAAGAAAAGAAATCTAAAAATGAAAGCTCTATTAAATATTATCCTTAATAAATCTTAGTTTGTTAGATATCTATTAAACAAATCATTTGTCATAAGTATTTTTATTACTGACCTACTATATGAAACCAAAGAAGCAGCTACAAAACCTCCTAAAGTGACCAGATATTTCCATAAGCTCTCTAATGAAAAACTGCTACTACCATGATGCAATCTGAAAAATTAACATACCACAATTAATGCTTACATAAATTTTTTTTGCTAACTTTTTATTGTTACCTACTTACCTAATTAATACAAAAAATGATAAATACATTGAAAAAAACCACATAAATTGTGAATGACTAGAAGGCATTCCATATTCTGTATGCAGAATCTCCCTGCCTATAAAAAAAATGTTAATTTATATTAATTTAATAGATATTTTATAAAAATATTTATCAAGAATTTCATTCTAGTAAGATCTACTAAATTTGAATTCTTTAAAATAACTAAAAAATATAATACTTGTTTAATTACAAAAAACATTTATAAAACAAGTTTATATCAAATCTACTTTTTATTCTATACATGTATGTTTTTGTCTAATTATTTTGGCAAAAAAATTTTTTGCTTATATATTTTCTCCCTTTTAATACATTCATTCCCTTCTTCCCTAAATATAAATTTTATCTTTTGTAAATTTCTATATCACTACACCAGAACTTCTAATCAACATTTATTGAAAAGGTTCACACAAATATCTTTCAGGAATTCAACATAAAAGTAATATATTCTAGAAATTCTGTATTATTTTGCAATTGATGTTGACATTTTTTTAAACTCTCTTAGAGTTTTCTTAAATATAAAATCTTTATAAACTGATAAAAAGACAAATTATCAATAACTCTTTGAAGATTTCTTCATGGAATCAATATTAGTTTAAAGTTTTTAAAATTTTATTTATTAAAATTCTATTTTCAAATTTATTTGCCTGAGGAAGATGGCAATGTACTGTTGAAGATGTAGTTATACCATATGTAGGCTGAGTGGTCTTTATATCCGAAATGCATTCCTACTAAAATTTGATTAGGGTTAATTAAAAGCTGTTTTTAGTAAAATCTAGTATATTTGTTTCAGTCAGCTCTTGATGTGATAAGCCCTCCAATTTGAATGATAAGCATAATGCATATCAAAGATTTTATATGCAGAATGGAGTCTCGCTTAATTGCACAATATATTAAGCCCTCCAATTTATTACAACCCTATTTCTTAGGCTAACTAATTCAATCTAAATTATTTTAACTAAAAAATTGAAATTTTATCTTAAGCAAAGATAAATAAAATCCATACCATCTTACATTAATATTAATAAATATAATGACCAGGTTGACTCCACCATAAAAAGTGTTGTGTTCCTGAGATGTTGAAAAAGGATGAAGAAATTTATTATTTCTTCTAATTTGTAAATACTTTTTACACTTTATTATTGTTCTGCCATTATATTTATTAATAAATAAATAAATTTTAAAATGCTATCTAATTAATTTATTAGCATCTGGAAGAAAATATTNACTGATTCATTTTCTTACTGAGCTTTCATAGAAGCTAATTTTCGTTGTCTTGTCCTAAAAAGTAAACTTTCTTTTAATTAATTACAAACTTTCATCTTTATTTCAGAATTAAATTATAAAAATGAAAATACCTTGACTCTGTTCGATGTGATGTATATTCAAACCACATAACATTTGGAATCAAAGTTGAATCTCTAATCATTAACAATTCACAAATAGGCCTGTAAATGTATTAAATGAAGACATTATTAAATATTTCAATTTCAAAATAATTATATCAATAGTTTCATAATTACTTGAATATACATGCCTGTGTTTTTTTTAAAGTTAATATTATAAAATATGGAGTAAGAGCATAATATAAATTTTATTTTGCATTAATATATAAATAGAAATTTGTTATTCTATTTAAATTTTTATTACTTTGTCTTTTAAGTTTATTTACTTAAAAACACAGTCTACTTCATTATTAATGATTTTTTTTAAATCTGATTAAGATGCAGATTTAAATTAATTTGCTAATGATAAATTTTATCTTATTTTTATTATTAAGAACTGATGACAGCTTTGGAGTTATTTAGACTGATTTTTAATAACTATAAATTTACACGAAAAAACAATATCTGAACCATTCACAGTATAAATACATTTTCTTTTTAAATATCAAATATTTAAATAGCAAATTTGTGGTAGTTAATTCTTTCTTTAATTAAGTATTAAAAAGCAATCATTCTTTGACTGCTTTTTATGAACTTATTGTGAAACAAGAAAGTGGTACAAAGGTGGCATATCTGGAAGCCACGTTTAAGATGCCAAAATCAACAATGCATGAACAGTAAATGCAATTTTACAGTATATACAGTATTTATATATTTCATTTATTGTTTTCATGTATTATTAGTGCATATTTAATTGTGCTAGTTTTACCTTAGATTACATGTATTTGCTGTTTTGATTAAGTTTATCAAAATGAGTATTGTTTAGGATCAGGGAATGGATTAATTCGTTTTCTATTAATTCTAGTGAAAAAGAAATTGATTCAGACTTTAACAGATTCAGAGTTCGAACAGCCTCCTGGAATGAATTAAATTTGAAGTATGAGACACCACTGCATATAAATTTATCAATATTATGACTAACAAAAGTACCCAACATGAACATAATTCTGAACCCCATTGAAACTTATATCCAACTTTCATTTACAGAAACTAATTCCATTTTTTTTTATTTATGTTTAATATTTTATAATATTATTTAGTCTATTTTTCATACAGTAAATTGGACTGGAACATGTACTTATATTTACTAATTATATGAAATCGTATTAGCTGATATACTCATGTCCAAAAATAAACAATCATAATTTGGCCCATATCTGAGGAATGGCTGATCACAACATTGCAAAACTTGAATTCGACTTATTAATGAAACTTATTAATTCAACAAAAGCTAAAAATATCAAAAAACCAATTTTATTATATCAACATTTTAATAAACTTACCAGGATGTAATGACAGGATACAAAGGAGTTAAAAAAAACTGAGTTATCGTAAACCAAACAACTGCAAATACAACTCCAAGCATTGCTCCACATATAACTTGCATTGATGTATGATACTGAAGATATACCCTAATAAATAAATATTTGCAAAAAATGTAAATTTACTTAATATATTAAATTATAATTCTACACAATATTAAACAGTAAAGTATAATAATGAAAATTTATTATTTCTATAATTATAATAAATAAATCTCTCAAAGAGGAGAGAGCAAGTCATTTCAAACAAAATTTTGTTTGTAGAATTCAAATTCATTTGGAAATACAAATAATTAATGACAATAAATTAAACTTTAATTTTGAAAATTAATTGATAAAAGATTTAAAAAATATATTAAAAAAATTGATAGAAAGATTTTTAATTAAAATATTTTATACTTATTTGTATACACTATTAATAGTTTCATTATCTTTAGATAATTTGAATAATCAGTCCAAATTTTTTTTAAAAAGAAATTGTTATATGCAAGAAATGTTTGGCAAAGATAATGATATTTAATTTTTCCAATATTTTATCAAATTTTGTTATTATAAACACAATAAGTAATTTATGAACTTTTTAAAAGTTGCATTATTTTGTAATTATTATTAAAATATTTCTAGACACTTCATCTTTCTTCAATGCATCATCATACTTCCTTGTAAATTTTCATCTCTTTTCAACCCAATGCCAAAATTATTATATCAAATTTACATTTTTCTTCCCTTCCACAATTTTAATATTCATTTTTTAAATTACTTAAATTTTATTATTTTTAATAAATATTAATAAACAATAAAGATATCATCACCAATATAGTTTAAATGGTTTGCAGATAAAAATCATTTGGATCATAACATAACAAGAAATTTTCAAATCAGAAATTATTGGGCATGATAGTCAATAATCACTTTTTAACTACAATCTAACAGTCTAACTGTTTATACATTTCTCAGTTGTATAAAACATCACTAACTCAACACCGGAGTGTAATAAATTAACAAAATCTTCAAGCCTGTTACCGGTGTGTTCATATCTCAGTTGTATATTTTTCACAATTATACATTAAATATTTTGCGTGTGTACTTTCTCCATTATAAAACACTTCAGTTCTGTTTTTTATTTATATGATTTTGCACTTATATATCATATTATTCAGTACCTATAGCACTTTTTCTCATTTATGTGTTTTTCATTTTTAAGTAGAAAAATTTAAAGCAATTATTAAAAAAAGTGAATTATGTATTCACTTCAGTTTAGTCCAAACTGAAGTTTTGAAAATATTAACTTTCTATATTTTGTAGTGTAAACCAATTTTACTAAGTGAATAAAAATTGCTTTCTAGTTTCTATTTGCAATAAATATGAGCTAATCTTTAGAATGACTTCATTCTTTCATATAACTGGGACTTTCTGCAGAAAAAGACAATTGATGTCACATACTTGTACAGTGTGTGGCAAATCCATCACAAAGAAAACAAGAAAGAAATAAAACTTGATCCTTTTTTTTTAAATTTGGTGATGTCTCACACACAATATATGCCCCCTCATTACAACAATCCCAATTAATTAAAAACCAATGCACAATAAAACCAAAATAAAAAAAACAACACGAGAATAACAAAATAATAAAAAAAAAACATGTAAAAAAATTATTTGGAGTAAAGTATCTTCTCACAAATGGCTTTGAATTTATAGGAGTCAAGGAACAATTTCTCGTCGATTTAGGTGGCAGTTTTTTGATAGTGATAGAAAAAAATCTAATTGTTACATTCAGGTGGCAGTTAGGTGAATGAATACAGGTTAATAATTTAATGTTGAATGTAGGATTACGGATAAAGGTATAACAAGCAGGAAGAGGACTGTTAAAATATTTGTATGTATAGATATGATCAAAGTAATCTATACATTGGAATAGGTTAGGGAGGCTGAGACAGATTTGTGCAACATCAGAAGAGTTAGTAGATAGCAGATGCAATAGTTTGTTGAGGGTAAAAAAAACTTTGTTTAGCTCTAGATTAAGTTTATTTAATGCAGATGCAGAAGCCGAAGCCCATATAGGTAAAGCATAATTCAAATTCAGTTGTATAGTTTTCCTCACTAATTCAAAAGTAGTTTCATTTGTATGTTTTCCTCACTTATATAATATTTTTCATATCCTATGAAAAATGTATACATAGAGTTAAATTATACATATAAAGCTGCTGAGCAGCTAATTATATTGCAACAATGACTTCAGACCTGGAAAAAACACAAGTATAAAATATTTAGATAAAGCATAAGCAATCTGT